TCAGGAGTTGAATTGAATTGAATCTTGGTACAACCAAGGCTAAAACCTTTTGACAATTGGGATTCACTTTGTTTAGATATTCATCAAAAAATATGTACGAAAAAGGAAAATCTATCAAAGAAGAGATCTTAGAGAAGCAACAAATCAAATCATTCAATATTTGATGTGCAATATTGATGTGCAAAGGAAAAACAGTGAGAAAGAAAATTATTTATTTATTTGGGTATGTTAGAAGTAGGACGTGTTTTAAAAACACTGGGATGAAAGCATAAGAAGTTTCATTAGTGGAAATCTATTTTACTAATATAGTAGCATAACCTGCTCAAGCTTTTTCTTGATAAAAATGGAAAACATAAGCAAAGAAAAGGAAGAAAAGAAAACAATTAGATAACCCATTTTCAGCACCAATCCCATGCAAGCACAAACCACTGAAAACAACACTTGCCAAATGTAGATACAAGACACTTTCAACGCCAATTCCATGCCAAGCATGAAAGAACCACCGAGGTGCAATATTGAACCACTTCAACATTCACAATTGATCAAATAACTACTCGTTTATTTTTTAAGTTCATTACAGCAGTTAAGACATGATTTAGACTATGCTTTCCCTGTTATGAATCAAATAAGCATTTCTTGAGGATAATTTAGTGTTCACAAACAAATATTGATCCATTCCAGCAGTTCCCAGCTTTTCCAAGTTTCCATCTCGGGCAAATGTAAGAGACCAAACACTGAACAATGGGCGCCGAGGTAATTTACCAATGGTATACACCTTTCGTCTACAACTATCACAGAAAATCAGGTAAACGAATTACAGAATCTAAGAACTTCGGCATTACTGGTGATTCCAACAAATAGTTCATGCAAACTTGCAAATGTAGACTTTTAGCAAAAATTTCAACTTCTATGATGGAGGCAAAATTAGAATGGAATAACAAATCATGTTTCCATTTTCAGTAAATTAGAGTCCAGACCACCTCTTCATCATCATTTGTATTCAACTATTCTTTCATTAGGACTTTTAATTGTTCAAATGGGTCTAATGTGTTAATTGTTCATGGAATAAAAGATTTCACAACCAAGATCAATCAAGCCAGCATGGCAACAAGTAGACAAAACCCCAACAAATGTGATATCATTTGGCACAACCTGGTCTTTTTCAACCTGGTAGTTGGTGAAAGTGTATATACTCTGATAAGCTTGCTTGAATTAGAGCTTCTCGCCGTCGTCGGAAGTGGGTCGTCGGTGAGGGTGGGTCGTCAGTGAAGGTGGGTCGCCGGTGCGAGTGGGTTCGGTGAAGGAGAAGCGGGCTGAGTGAGAGTGAGTGGGAGTGAGTGTATACTCTGTATAAGCTGTGTAATGCTTTGGGCAGGAAAATTTCAGTTCCAATTTTGAATTTTTTTTTATATTTTTTTTAGCTGTTGGATTTGCTGAGCTGAATCTCAGCCGTTGCACGGAGGAAATGAAGGAGGAGAGTTAAGGAGAAGATTTAAACTATTGGGTTAATCTAGTGGTTTGTCAGGAGTAGGGGTGTGTACGGTGTGTTTGGGGCAGTTTGAGAATAAAATTACAAACTGAATGGGGGTTAGCGAATTATCGGATTGACAAATTGCAGGTTGTGCGGTTTTTAGTGAATTGGCAAATTGAGAAATATTCCAACTAATTATCATACATTTGCATAATATATAGCATTAATTTGTATAATATTTTTTAGATATATAACACAAAGTAATTTTACATAATATGTTTCATATATAATCACTAATTTGTAATAAATTTTATATTTTAAATCTCTCTTACACTTATTTTTATATTAATATTTTATTAAAAATTAAAAAATATATATATATATATATTAACTATACTAGAGCGGAACAATTCGGTTGGCAAATTATAAATCTTAAAATTCAAACCGTGATTCGAGTGATACCAATAAATATAAATCAATACGTTTTTAACGGATTTGATAATATTTTGCAAAGACATACTAAATCTGAGTATAGTAGCATAACCTGCTCAAGCTTTTTCTTGATAAAAATGGAAAACATAAGCAAAGAAAAGGAAGAAAAGAAAACAATTAGATAACCCATTTTCAACACCAATCCCATGCAAGCACAAACCACTGAAAACAACACTTGCCAAATGTAGATACAAGACACTTTCAACGCCAATTCCATGCCAAGCATGAAAGAACCACCGAGGTGCAATATTGAACCACTTCAACATTCACAATTGATCAAATAACTACTCGTTTATTTTTTAAGTTCATTACAGCAGTTAAGACATGATTTAGACTATGCTTTCCCTGTTATGAATCAAATAAGCATTTCTTGAGGATAATTTAGTGTTCACAAACAAATATTGATCCATTCCAGCAGTTCCCAGCTTTTCCAAGTTTCCATCTCGGGCAAATGTAAGAGACCAAACACTGAACAATGGGCGCCGAGGTAATTTACCAATGGTATACACCTTTCGTCTACAACTATCACAGAAAATCAGGTAAACGAATTACAGAATCCAAGAACTTTGGCATTACTGGTGATTCCAACAAATAGTTCATGCAAACTTGCAAATGTAGACTTTTAGCAAAAATTTCAATTTCTATGATGGAGGCAAAATTAGAATGGAATAACAAATCATGTTTCCATTTTCAGTAAATTAGAGTCCAGACCACCTCTTCATCATCATTTGTATTCAACTATTCTTTCATTAGGACTTTTAATTGTTCAAATGGGTCTAATGTGTTAATTGTTCATGGAATAAAAGATTTCACAACCAAGATCAATCAAGCCAGCATGGCAACAAGTAGACAAAACCCCAACAAATGTGATATCATTTGGCACAACCTGGTCTTTTTCAACCTGGTAGTTGGTGAAAGTGTATATACTCTGATAAGCTTGCTTGAATTAGAGCTTCTCGCCGTCGTCGAAAGTGGGTCGTCGGTGAGGGTGGGTCGTCAGTGAAGGTGGGTCGCCGATGCGAGTGGGTTCGGTGAAGGAGAAGCGGGCTGAGTGAGAGTGAGTGGGAGTGAGTGTATACTCTGTATAAGCTGTGTAATGCTTTGGGCAGGAAAATTTCAGTTCCAATTTTGAATTTTTTTTTATATTTTTTTTAGCTGTTGGATTTGCTGAGCTGAATCTCAGCCGTTGCACGGAGGAAATGAAGGAGGAGAGTTAAGGAGAAGATTTAAACTATTGGGTTAATCTAGTGGTTTGTCAGGAGTAGGGGTGTGTACGGTGTATTTGGGGCGGTTTGAGAATAAAATTACAAACTGAATGGGGGTTAGCGAATTAGCGGATTGACAAATTGCAGGTTGTGCGGTTTTTAGTGAATTGGCAAATTGAAAAATATTCCAACTAATTATCATACATTTGCATAATATATAGCATTAATTTGTATAATATTTTTTAGATATATAACACAAAGTAATTTTACATAATATGTTTCATATATAATCACTAATTTGTAATAAATTTTATATTTTAAATCTCTCTTACACTTATTTTTATATTAATATTTTATTAAAAATTAAAATATATATATATATATATATATTAACTATACTAGAGCGGAACAATTCGGTTGGCAAATTATAAATCTTAAAATTCAAACCGTGATTCGAGTGATACCAATAAATATAAATCAATACGTTTTTAACGGATTTGATAATATTTTGCAAAGACATAAATCTGAGTATAAACCAACGGTTCACCAAATTTTTCATCAAATTTGAGTAAAAAAAAAGACCATTTTTTCAATCTGATACAGACTGTTCCAATGGTTGTCATCAACGTAGGGGTTGACCGGTGAGTCGACCGGCCGGTCGACCGGTTATTGTATTTTTATTTTATTTTTTTACCTCTTTGAATCTTTTGACTTATTTGAACCAACCTATTTGTAAGGAACCGGTCGACCGGTTGGTCAACCGGCCAGTCAACTGACTAGTTGACCGGTTGGCCTTCCCCAACGGTCACGCATACTAAATTGGTGAAATTTTCCTCCTGTTCTCACTTTAATAAAAAATTTGATAAATTCTCATTTTGATACCAATTTAATGATATCATTAGACCATCTCCAACGGTGAACCAAACCCAGCATCAGATTTAAATTTTGATGAAAAACCCACTTTTTCACGCTCTAACGGTTTCACCAAATCGATGGGTGGCGGATTGATAAAAGTGTCACTAGAATTTGCCATTTTCCTTATCGAAAACCGGCGGTTCGGTTGGCAAATAATGGGGGATTTGCCTTGGCGGTTCGGGCGAATTGGCGGTTTATAAAAAATATAATTTAAATTACAAAACTTAAATCAAAGAGTAAAAAAAAAACGAAAGATATCGTAATGTTAAGCATCTTGTGAAACTTTCTTCTGATGCAGCAAGTGTAGCAACAACATGATAATATCAACGACTATACCATCAGTTCATTACAAGTATCTGTGGAAGCTGCAATGATCAAATACAATACATAAAATTCCCCTCGAACATTAATGTAATACTATATTCTAAGGTATAGAACAACAAACAAACTTAAGTAAAAAAGAATTTTTAGAATCCTATAAAACATGATTTAATAGCGGTACGGGTCGGTGCGGTTTGGAAAAAAAATAGAAACCGGCGGATTGATAAAAGTGTCACTAGAATTTGCCATTTTTCTTACCAAAGACCGACGGTTTGATTGACAAATAATAACGAATTTGCCTTGGCAGTGCGGTTCGGTGCGATTTTGGCAGTTTCGGCGGTTTCGGCGGTATTATGCACACCCCTAATTAGAACTACAAAAAAATAATTTTTTCACCCAATTTCAAATAGAGAAAAGTTAGGGATCATGAAATTTTTTTCATTAAAATGATCATGAAAGATTTATGATTCTTGGATTACCTTGATTAGTGTGTGGTGTTTTATTCTAAATATAATCCAAGAGTCACAAAACTTTCATGATTATTTTCATGAAAAATTTTTCATGATGCCTAGCATTTCTGTTTCAAATATGATGCAAGGGTTTGGTGCGTTGGAGATGGTAAGGAGGAGAGGGTGAACCGTGTATCATTTTTCTTCCAAGAAAATAAAAAATGTCAGTAGTGGGGTTATCGTTTCTTTGAAGGCTGAACTGGAATCTAAAAATTCAGGTAAAGGTTGCTATAGTTAAAGAGACAGTACTGTATTGTCTCCATATCAATCGTCATCGTCATCGTCATCGTCATCGTCATCGACGCTTCAATTCAGCTCAAGCTTGTTACAGATAGAGAACAAAAATGTCAGCTTCTCTCCCAACTCCTTTTGGCGTCACAACTCCGGCGCACAATGAATCTTTCAATTCGAATTTATGGTGCACCGCCACCACTCGGCCGCCGTCGATCTCCAAATTCGTAGAACCGGTGGCTGTGGCGGTGGCCTCCTCAGCTTCATGTCGATTTTTAAGGGTTTGTTGTAAACGAGTAGTGAAGGCGGGTGCGATCGAAAGCCCAGGATCAAGCGGAATTGAGGAATTGACGTGTGTGATGAAATTTGGAGGATCCTCTGTGGCGTCGGCTGAGAGGATGAGAGAGGTTGCCGATCTCATTCTTAGCTTCCCTCAAGAGAGGCCTGTCATTGTTCTCTCTGCTATGGGGAAAACTACTACCAATCTTCTACTTGTACGCTACGAAACGAAACGAAACGAACAATTCTCTCTCTCTCTCTCTCTCTCTCTCTACTTGCATATAATGTGTTTGTTTGTCTCTTTGATTAAGTTTCAAATTTTGGAATTGGACGATTGTGGCATAGGCTGGAGAAAAGGCAGTGAGTTGTGGTAATTCGCGAGTGTCAAAAATTGATGAGTTGAGATTTATTAAGGAACTGCATCTAAGGTGATCAATTTTGAATTTTTTTATCATGAATTTCATCGTACAAACAATTTTCATCAACACTCGTGTGATTTTGTTCATACAGGACAGTAGAAGAGCTTGGAGTTGATGTTTCTGTTATTTCTGGTGAGTTGTTAACACATCTTTATTTGTTTTTACATCAATAATTCTTCTCTTTATTGACTACCATTCCAATAATTTTCAATATGTCAAGTTGTTATTCATGCCTATTCTTTCCCACTCTGTGTCATTTTGCAGCACACTTGGAAGAACTGGAGCAACTATTGAAGGGAATAGCTAGGATAAAAGAATTGACTCTCCGCACAAGAGATTATTTAGTTTCATTTGGGGAATGCCTGTCCACTAGAGTTTTTGATGCGTATATGAATAAAATTGGTGCTAAAGCACGTCAAGTATGTTTCTTCTCACTAATTCTTTCCATGCCGTTGTATATTGAAGAATTTTAAGGGTTCATTAGCATCATTTTCCTTATTATTCATTATATAAAATTTTAAACTTATGGTGTCATATTCCTTTTAGTTTTAATTGGAAAGATTTTTTAGCCAAAAAAAAAAAAATTTGTTTAGTTTGTGAAAGATTAAACTGTCATTAACTTCCATTGCATGACTAGGTACCTAATTAGTTCAAAAAATAGATGTTAGTTTGTTGAACTCATCACCTTGATATGTGTTGTGCTGAAAAATAACATGGCTAAGATGTCCAGCTCAGTGGCATAGCATAAATTTGTTTTCGTATGCTGAAAAGGTATCCAATATCTTTGGTTGGTTTCTTATCATTTGCAAAGCTCGGAGAACCGCTATTGCAGTTAGTTTCGAGTTTTTGAAGGTTGTTGATCTCTAGCAATCTTTGAGTGTGTAAATGGATCATAAGGCTATAACAATTCAGTTCCCTGTCAGGAAATAGAAGAAAAGTTGGTTGACACGGTGTTGTATAGATGAGACTGGTCGATTATCCAACAATTATCTGAAAATAATTGACATAAATATATATTATATATATGTATATTGATTCGTAGTATCTCTCCTGTTGATCTATATGGCCATTGGTTTGCTGCTCAAGAGGTCAATTAAGTAGGCTTCATTACTTTAGTTTCTAATCTTTCTCTTTAGTTATCCTTTCTTTTGTGACATTGGCTCCAGGATTGTACTTTAGTTTCCTTCCTGTAATTGGTAGTACCCATTCTTATGATATATATAACATAATGTTCTGCAGTATGATGCATTTGACATTGGTTTTATAACTACGGATGACTTCACGAATGCGGACATCCTGGAAGCTACTTACCCAGCCGTTGCAAAGAGATTACATAGTGATTGGATTAGCGATCCTGCAATTCCCATTGTCACTGGCTTCCTTGGAAAGGTCTTTTCATTGGCTCACTGTTGTCTATACATTTGCTTAGAATTTTTTTATTTCAAATCAACTTAATCAGTCTTGTGTTAGCATTTTAATCACGATATATGTTGTTCTAATTGTAGGGTTCAAAATCTTGTGCAGTAACTACCTTAGGTAGGGGTGGAAGTGATTTGACAGCAACAACCATTGGTAAAGCCCTTGGCTTACGCGAGATTCAGGTCAGATCACACACTGAAGCATGCATAATGAGTGCTTTCGTGATTTTTCATCAAACACATGCCAAAGCTATTTGACCAATGCTCACAGGTGTGGAAGGATGTTGATGGTGTATTGACTTGTGATCCTAGCATTCATCCACGTGCTGAACCTGTACCATATTTGACATTTGAAGAAGCAGCTGAGCTTGCATACTTTGGTGCTCAGGTTATATTCTTGTTGTTATTGTCTCTTTAGGTTTACCGGCTTTTTAAAGCTGGATGGAGCAGCTAGTTTCACTAGCCTCTCAACTGTCAAGATTTATCATTAGTTCATTACCTCAGTCGTGGTGTTTTCAGTAATGTACTTTTCTAGTCTTGAAAGCCACAAGCATGCTTGCATATCCCCAAAAGTAGTACTACATACACACACAACAGAAGAAGAGGGGGAGGGAGGGAGGAAGCACTTTCGTTGTTGATACCTCTGTTAAGAGCTCTTTTGCCATATCTCAATTTCAACAAGATATAGAGAGAAGATAGGAAGTGGGCAAAAAGTTAAAGACAAGGTATCAGATAAGGGACTTTGGTTACTGGGAAGTGACAACAAGAAGTAGCATTTTGCTCTATGAATTCAATAGACAAACATGTACTGAATTTTCGAGGTATTTTTAGGGATATATACTTAATACTGCATTCAGACTAGTTTTTGGACTGGATCAGTACAATTAACCACATGTTTGTTCTGAGGGTGATCATTCATTGATGAGCTAGTTAAATTCATTTAGTCCATGTTTGGATCATAAATTTGGGTAGGGATTTGAAAGGGAAAGGAAAAAGGTGAGGCAAATGTTAATGAAATGTAAGCTAAATTTTTTCTCCATTTTGAAATTCATGATCCAAACACAGTGTTAATCTCCAGTTGTAAAGTTATATCATCACAAATGGTTTTAGCAATTAGCAACAGCTGTAAGTAAGTAATGTTCATTCGTTTTTGGCAAAAGCTAAAGCACTTGTTTAGAAAAGAGTTCTATAGGTACACTTCACAGCTCTTGTTTGCAGGTCCTGCATCCACAGTCCATGAGACCAGCTAGAGAGGGTGATATCCCTGTCAGGGTCAAGAATTCTTACAATCCTAAAGCTTCTGGTACCCTCATCACTAAAAGTAGAGATATGAAAAAGGTTTGTAGCTAGATAATTTGACTCTAGGTTAGAGGATTAAAAGATCAAACAGCATTTAATTAATTTCTTAAATTCAGAACAGGCTGTACTAACCAGCATAGTTTTGAAGAGGAATGTCACCATGTTGGATATAGTTAGTATTCGCATGCTTGGTCAATTTGGCTTCCTTGCAAAGGTGAGAGAACTTTTTTTGCAGTTTACATTTTTCTCATTAATTTTGTTTGCAAATTTGATGGTTTTGTTTACTGTGCAGGTGTTTTCAATATTTGAAGATTTGGGCATTTCCGTGGATGTTGTTGCTACCAGTGAAGTCAGTATATCTCTGACCCTGGATCCATCAAAACTTTGGAGCAGAGAACTAATTCAGCAGGCAAGCAATTGATACTATTTAGTTGGTCATGAAGCAATGTGCTTACTTAGATGTCAGATTCGGCTAATTCTCATATTTAAGGACACAAGGACATGGCTAGATTTTATATTTATTAAATCTCTCTCATTATTTTAGGGTAAAGATGGTGTTTACAAGCTAACATAGAGGGTGTTATGCATAGTTATATAATAAACTACTTATAACACTTGTTGGGTGAATGTCCAACTAAACATGTTGGACACATTCCATGCCCTTACCAAAGTGTTGGGTGTCCAACATGGGTACTTTATAAATTTTGCTACTGTATTTATTTTCTTTTATTCAGTGTAAAATCACTGGCTAGTTTCTTATATGCCCCAGGTGATGTTGGTCCACGTTACAGCTTGTATATCTCATCTTTAGTCATAATCACCTCAATTGAAGTAATTATATGGGCCTTGTTTTGTAGACATAATTTCTGTTTTATGTTAACATCTCTCTCTCTCTCCCCCCACTATGTTTCTCTGGAACTGTCTTGTTTGTGCAGGAACTGGACAATGTAGTGGAAGAGCTAGAAAAAATTGCAGTTGTAAATCTCCTCCAACACAGATCAATCATCTCCCTCATTGGAAATGTACAGCGTTCTTCATTGATACTAGAGAAGGTATCTCAATCATCTTGTATGAATCGCTCAAGATTAGTAGCTACTGCTTTAGGAATCTCGGGCTCCTACTTTATGTCGTCATACATTTTTCTCTGGGTTGCAAAGCACAAAATGGAAATCATAACTGAATGTCAATTTACATGAAATTTTCATGTCTTCCATTTGCTTGTACCTTGACAGGTCTTTAATGTTCTCCGAACTAATGAAGTTAACGTCCAGATGATTTCACAAGGAGCATCCAAGGTCTTTTCTCATAACTCTTATACATCATTTTGATGTGTATCTAGCAAATATTGATCACTTGCTCTGAAACCAGGTGAACATCTCATTGATAGTAAATGATAGTGAGGCAGAAAGATGTGTGAAGGCCCTTCACTACTCCTTTTTTGAGAGTGGTGATTTGTCAGAAATAGATCTGGATGGTGGATTTGAGAATGACACGGTTTCGGCATTGCAAGCGGAAAGCTGATGACTGTAGTGACTTTATATGTTACTCACATGATTGTATCTGTTAGCATTCTGTTTTGTTTAGCTCAGCGTGAATTTCTATTCCTCAAGCATTTATTATTGTATCTTGCTGAAATGCTTTGTAATTTATAAATATATTACATCTCTTTTAGATTTCATGTTAATTAATATACAAGTATTGTTAAAGTTTAATTTACTCATCCTTTCACCATTAGTGTGAAAACATTCTGTATCACTCATAACAGGTGACTTTTACTTGTCATATTCAAATGGCACCCCGTTCTGGAAATCCTAGATCGATCAATCGATGGATCTCTCGCACCTGCAAGTCAGGGGTCACGATGAGTGAGGTTCTGGTAGTGTGGAAGGCTTAATGTGTGCGTCGCGGGTTTAAGGGCTGCATTATTGACTGGAAAAGTGGGTCGTGATTAGGGGTGAACATGTGATGTGATTTGAGTATAAGAATATTGATTAAAATAGTTAATAAAAATAAAATATATTAAAATAGTCAATAAAATAAAATATCACGTTTAAATTATAATCATTTTATATTTTTTCTTTCACAATTATCAAATCAATTATATATAAAAAAATAATAATAATAATTTCAAATACAACGTTTTTAATCAGATTATTTTAATCAAGTTTTACCCAACAACCTAATGAGTACTTGGATTTATGATGTAAGTTGTCTAAATTAGAAAATTACATTTTTGCCCATCCAACTGGGTTTCAACAGTTAGTGATTTGTGTAGTTGTCTCCAATTGATCCAAATAAACAGAAAATTTGTGATAATGTAGAGGATAGAAATGAAATTAACTCAACACTCCATAAAAAATTTTGTATAATTTTATGATGAACTCTTTTATTGTCAGGCTATCCTCAAATTCAAAATCACAAATTCTTATGATCTGGTATGGAGACTGAAACGTCAGGAAAAAAAAATAAAAATAAAAAAACTTTGTGGAAGAAGCTTCAACACAGCATTAATAAACAAAAGAGCCTTGGCATCTATCCGCCTAGGTGAGATAAGCCTTTGAAAGCCTTGTTTTCTTCTAGTAGCAGTAAAAGATGGTACTCCTGGGATTTTCTTATACTACCAAACCACTAAGCTTGAAGCCTTCCAAGCAACGCTACGTACACAAAAGTAGAAAATAGAACTGGGTACAGACAAGCCCACAAGCTTGTGAGTGTCTATTGTCTCGTTTTCTGTGTTTCTAGCATTATTGTAGCCTTGTCCTCAAACTTCTCTTCTTGTCCTTAGGCCTAGCTATTTGCACTTCACATTAATGGCTTCAACTATAGTTCATGCTCATCAACCAACTTGAGCCCCCATCTTGTATCCTCACAATGTCGAACATATGGAACCCTAGCCCCAGTATCTGTTCTTCTTTTCACCTGGCAATCATAAAACGGAGGAAAATGAAAACAAGGTTCCATTGATGTGGCACGGTGACAAGGCGAATCATAATCCATTTCCTTTTGGGGATTGTTTAAAATCCATGGTCTCAAACCTCCAATCCCTTGAGCTACATATCCAAAAGTTGACCAAGGGCTTGTGATCAACACATCCATCAAGCTAAGAAGATAAATCTCAGCCCATGCCTTCATGTGGTGTGTTAGGTTCCCAAGCTGTTGGTACCCTTCATGGCTTGGTTGGAAAACACCAATCACTTCTCCATTAATTGTTGGATTTTCCCAATACATGTTTCTTAAATTCTCCAAGTACCCTGAATCCAAGGATGTCACAAGAAGTGCTTTTGATTTTGGATTTTAATTAGGTGTGTAAATAACAACAGAAATAGATTCTTGGGGATTTGTCATGGGTTTCAATTTGGGAAGCAAGTTTTTCTTCACAGAACAATTGAGTATTCGATCCATCATGTAAGAGAGCGGGCTAGTTACATCATATGAATTATTTATCCGATTGAAAATTGATTCGTTTACAATCAAGTGAGGGAGATAGTAGCTAGCTATATGATCCTTCAAGCTTTGGAATGGCAAGTTTGTGCTTTTAAAATCTCTCACTTGGATTCCAATTCTCTCATCGGCTTTCACCAAGTAGCATGATAATATCTTGTTATTAGCCCCCAAACTTGATTGGAAGGGTGGAAAAGGTACCGGCCTAAGTGATGGAAAACAGTTTCCTTTTCCGGAAACAAGTCTCTTAGGTCTTGCTCGAAAGATGGAATCAAGAACAAAGATGGAATGAAGTACTGATCCGATCTGATGACCAACCATGAAACCCCTCTCATGAAATTCTGATCTTGATCGCAAAAAAATTGCCTTGGCATCCAGAGATGTACAAGATATTTGCAGTCTGCACGGGCAATGCTATGAGCACCGGGCTGAAAATGCTCTAGGGTTTTGTTGTAGGATGCGGTGTGGGGACCGCAGTGTCCGTGGAGGGATTCGTAGCTTCGCAATGTGGAGATGAGATGAGATGAGATGAGATGGGGAGAGGGTTTGTGGGGTATAGAGTGGATTGGTACCGGCTTGAGCATGATTTTTCTCTGAAATCTGCAGATTCAAGTCCATCAACCAATTTGTCTTTGAGTTTGCTATTGGTACTTGAAGAATGATCTACTGAACCTGCGAATCAAAGAAAGGAAAAACTAGAAAAGTGAAAAAAAATAAATAATAAGAAACTCATTCTTTTCTTTTTTGTTTATTCACTCGACAATCTAAAACAACCTATCAAAAGTATATCATATAATGGTTAAGGACTTTCCAACAATCAGAGGAAACTCATGTTCACATTGTCTGTCAATGCATGAGCATCACGGTGAGGCCAAAGAATGATCAGACGTGTAGTCTTACCCGTTTTCAAGATGCGTTAGAAAGAAGTTCACAGTCTTCTTTATCAAAACGGAAAAAGAATGAAAGTAAGATAAAATAATATTTAAAGAAAAAATGTATCCAAATTGGCCTAGAATAGAATCTCAATAAAATCACTTAGAGAGAAACTGGTCTGGTCATCACCCAAATATTCCAAACCCTTTTATGAGCTCATACGATAGACATTTTGAGTTATGAAATTTTTACTTGAAAGTAATAGGTTATGTATATACCTTTTTGGGAAGTTGTTCCAACTGTTCCCAATCCTCCATTTTGATCCAGTGCTGTTTTACAATAAATCAATGAGAGCAGGCCAAATAACAGAACAAGTAGCCACAATCCATCTTCTCCTCATCATATAGAACCCTAATTTCTTGCACTGCAACACAAACATAGGCATTTCCCCACAAAGGGTCGACAACGTTCGAGGCGTTACCAAATAACATACACTCAATAACAAACTTGTTATCAAATATTTAGTAACATCCGAATCAAGTAATGACACTTGAGAGGGTAATTTTTGGAGAAAATTGGACCGAGCTGTGAGATGGACTCTATGGCCCAAAGTGTGAAGGAATCGGTAAGAAGCCGTAATGTTATTTCGGCCCAGTAGAGGTATAGATACTACGGTCCAGAAGAAGCATAGTTACTCCGGCCCAGAAGAGGTATGATTACTCCGGTTAGGAGAGGTGTAATTGCTTCGGCCCAAGATGGTGTAAAGCTACTCCGGTCGGGAGGTAGCTTGAAGTTAGTCCGGTCGCAGTATATTGTGGTTAGATCGGTCGGAACTTGCTACTCAGAAGCTTGGTCTTAGCACACCATGGTTGAACAGGGGAAGGCCGAGATAAGGAGTTGGAGAAGAAGACCGAGCTAAGGACAGTTCGGCCTTCTCTGTGGCTCTGCGTAGTCAAGCTTATTTCGGTTTTATAGTAGTTCGGCCAAAGTGAAAACCATCCCACTTGGTTTAAGCAATGGGGGAGGGTGTAAAAGGATAAGCATTATCCTTAGGAGTATGAATCCTAGGAGGACTCTGCATGGAGAAATAAAAGTCCTACTAGGATTATGCCACTCGAAACCTATAAAAGCTCACAAGCACCACCTTGAAGGAGGTAATTGAACATAATTCTTTCTGAGAGCATAAAACCTTGTCTATTTGTCAAGCTTACTGACTTAGGTATCGGAGAGGTTTCCGGCATACACCCGCCGGCTAGCTCATTTTTGTGTTTTCAGGTTATAAAGCGACGTCGTACGGAGGAGCGTGGACTTGGTCAACAGGATTATACGAGGAGAATTATTTCCTCCCCGTACAACACCCATGACATGATAACTCCATGGAAGATGCATTTAAAAAATAAAAATAAAAAAATCTTGCATTGTTTTGCTTGAAAGGGGGGTCTATTACTTGTTAGTGCTAATTTATGACATAGGAAGTTTTATTAATGACAGTTAAACGGAATCATAAAAGTTTTTGTGCTGTATTTATTCCTATCTAATAAGATGCATGGTTGCATCTATCAATGGCATAACATATGCACACAAACACAAAACACATGTGAAATATATATAAATTTTATTATCATAAATCCAATTTGAAATTTCAATTTCCTCATTTGGATTTATTAACTTTTTTTCCTCATCTCAAAATGGTGGCAAGTAGGAAGCAATTTTTTCATAATCATTTTGTTCTTAACCCCCTATTTTCTTCATTTGGTACTTTAGCTAAATTTATTAATTCATTATGACATTACAGTCTTAATTTTGTTGAATCGTGTATAAATTTACAATTTAATTTTTCTTTTTGTTTCATATAATTATTTTAAGAGAAAGTATCAAAATTAGAAAATAGTTTCTATTGAATAAAAAGGAATGGGCCGTCCTGTCCTTTCCATGCTCCGACGAGGGAACGGCGTCGTTTGTCTCAAATTCACAACTGGTCTCTTCTTTTTCTTGCGTCTATTCTATCACATTTTTCCTTTGCCAATACCACATTCTTCCATCTCCTTAACCAGCGCCGCCAATCCTCCCCTGCACATCTTAACGTGCGCAGCTACAATGGCTCTGAGGATGGCGACGCTAAAAAGCGCCGGGGAGAAGATGGGGTGTGCATTCGGACTCAGAAGGTGGACCCACTCCATCGCCCTACCTCCGCCGCTTGATACTCCGATGAGTCACACCACCGTCTCATCACCGTTGGTCTTGCCTGAACACGGCCATGACTCCATTAACAACAACAACAACAACAACGTTGGATTCGAATTCCCAAGTTTCTGTTTCGGTGGTGGATCTATGGAGCTCATGGCTGTCCCCAAGAGGAAGGTGATTTCAAGCTCCAATTTCTTGCTCGCTTTTCACAAAGTTCAATTGTATATACATATATTTGATTTATTTGTTATTCTGTGATGTTTTAAGATTTGGGTTTTGCTTAATTTTTGTTGGGTATTCAAGTTTCAAGCTGTGTTTACACTTTTCCCTTACCATTAATCCAAACACAACATTAGGGTTTAGGGTTTTGTGGCAATACAGTTAGAACTGATACTATGCATTTGATTTCAGGTTCTTACTCATCTGTTTCCCTAAATAATAAAAATAAAAAATAAAAAATTAATTTTTACTTGATACTAGGATTTGAGTTGGATGTAATGTATGCTTCACTCCTTATTTGGATTATGCTTTGGCTAGTTCTGGTATTTTTGGTATAATTTGTGTTTTGAAGCTTCAATTTTTATTTGTTTGATCTGCAACAACTTGGCCCCATTCTAAATTTATGATTTTTTGGCCTTTTTTACTACCTCAGTATGGAACTCAATTCTTTTATTGGCTATGTTGCTTGCTGATACATGTGTTTACCTAACTGGGGATGCTGAAAATGTTCCCCAAAAAAAATGTTTTCTCCATTTTTTGGTGTTTAGTATAACAGAAAACAAAACTGAATGAAAACAATTTTCATGGTCAATAGACAATGAGCTGACTTGGGTTGATGTTTTTTTTCTGTTTTTAATATGTCTGTACTGCAAAATCAAAGTGTAAATGATTGTTCCTTTTCAAGTTTACTCCTTTGCACTCTCATTTTGCTTTGCAAGCATTGCACACTATTTGATTTACAAATATTGTGCAGTTTTTACAGTTTGATCAAGGTTTCCATAAATATGATTACTTTCAATTTATGGTTATAGTGTTTTGAAACCATCACACCGTACTATGAAAAGTGACTTTGAGGTTTTGGACACCATAGATTTACTATATCCACATGAGGCCTTGTGGCTTGGGTAATGCTGTGTTAATTGGCAGTTTATGAATGATTTTCATGTTGGATTGTCGTCATCTCATTTCTTATTCCCACTTTTTATCTCCCATTTTCAACTTTCAAGCATTGGATTTTTCTAATGAATGACTAAATTCACTATCATGAAGTCTATCACATTCACTAACATACTTCTACTTGTACATTTGATCCATGTCATTGTGGTAGTGTTCTGGCTTTAGAATATTTATGCAAAACAAAAAGTGTTCTTCGAAAGCATTGGTGCAAATGATAAGATTTTCTTGATCATGCAGGTTTCTCCGCACAAGAGAGGCATAAGGAATGGACCAAAGGCTTTGAAACCTGTTCCAGTGATCATCCGCTGCAAGTAAGGCCTTTGCTCCTGTTATTAGCAATTTACATTTTATGTTTCCCATAGAAATTTATAGATTCATGACTACATTAGTTATCTTGAAAATTTGTTAAAACTTCTGACTACAATGACTCTGGTCCGCCTGTGAAGTCACTTCAGCACAAAGTGTGGTTAGGTGTGTAAAACAAAGCCTTTAAAGTTCATATGTCATTATATCTTGTCTCTCAAAAAACAAAATGCTAGTATATGACCTAGAACTGGCTATTGGAACAGTGACTTTTGTGAACTTCTGAATTTTGTCGTATGACAATCTGCATACAAATACAGCATGTCCGTGGTATAATACTATAATGTTATTGGGGCATGTACCTTATGCTCTAAGGATCTTGTCGAAAAAAAGAGTAAATTACACTAACCTCTCTTAAGGTTTAGAGAAAATATAGAATCCCATAGTTTTGGCATAATTACATTGAGTTCCATTAAAATTTTAATTCACATAACACTTAACCCTATTTTCATCAATAATTCGCTAATCATGTGGATAGAAAAATGTTGTCATCTCTTTTATACTAAAAAATATATAGATATATATATATATTTTTTCTTGTTTATCGTTGTATCTTCATCACACAATTTGCATTAATTTTGGTCTCTTTAGTCTTATTGAAAGGGATGTCGGTCTAATTATGTCAAAATTGTGGGGTTTGCTGTTTTTTTATCCAAATCTTAAGGGAGGTCAAGTGTAATTTATCCTTCATTCAAAAAAAAAGTGTAATTTACCCTAAAATAAATAAGCAAATAAATATGCCCATCCACATTGGTCATATTTTTGTAACTTGGTAAACCGAAGGACCTCACTCTCGTATTTGATTGCAGTTTTTGTCGATACATTTAGCATATCATGTCTTTACTTAACTTCTATTGCATCTTTTCCAGGAGTTGTGGTCGAGTGAAGCTACCACACTTCTATTGTTGCAGTGGAGATAGGGGAAATACTGGTGAAAGGAACGGTTCATCCAGTTGATTTAAGCCTGTTGCTTTTTAATTCAACGATTCACATAAAACTAAATCCGCAGGTTTTGTTGTCTTCCATTACAAGCTTAGAACATCATGAGATTGTATTAGAAGTCAATCGCCATTTTCTTGTTGGGATTTAGGTTTTTATTGGCTATATCCTCTATTCTATATATCATTTTCTTTTTATCAAATGGCTACATTTTGCGATCAAATCAACCAAGAAAACAGGGTACAGGTACAACAAAATGTTGTAGATGGAGGAGCTAAAACAACCCATTTTTTGGAAGTGTCTTATTCTTACAAACGGTTAGCACGGCTGAGATTTCGTTATATAGAAATGGGTCTTACAATCACAAATTTCTTGGGACATTACCTGGTAAATACAAGGGTCATAATAAGGCCCACATAAAGGTAGGAAAATTTGAACCATTCACCTCTTCTTCTTCTTTCTTTTTTTTTTTTTTTTTTTTTTTTTTTTTTTTTTTTTTTTTTTTTTTTGATATCCGAGTGTTTGGACCAGCTTTTGCGTACCTCGTCTTTTTTTTATTTGAACCATTCGCCTCATTAATTTGGCCAATTAAATTATTTATTGAGTTTAGTATATTCAAATAACAATTTAAAAAAATCACATTTTACATATAAAATCATATTTTAAAACTACGACTTTAAAACAAAATAAATTTAGAAGTAACAAAATAAATTTAGAAGTATTTGAGCTTAGGAAGTAAATTTTTGTACAAACTTGAGTGATTGGATACCATAAAAAAATATAAAAAAATAAAAAATAAAAAACTAAGGTTTTAATTTAGATGGCCTTAACTCGAGCTCAAAAGGTAAATTTTTTAAAATTTGATTAATATATTTTTGAATTTGATCTAAGTTTCAATAGAAAATCAAAAGAATAAATTAAATTTAAGTCGAGCTTGGGCAAAGACACGGAAAACCAAAATCTCAAGCTGTATTTTTAAACCAAAAAAAAAATGAAATATTAAATATATATATATATATATATAAATTATTAATTATTTGATGATATTAAAATAATTTGAACTATAAATCATATTCATATTTATTATAAAGAAAATTAGTCTAAGGTCCTTAGGAATGGCATCGGGACGGGGCGGGGCCGGGGATCACACTCCCTGTCCCCAATCCCCGATGGTGGAAATTTCCCCGTCCCTGGCCCCGATTCCTAACGTGGAACCTATCACCGCCCCCGCTCCCCGCCCTACCGGGAATCGGGTTTCCCCGACCCCGAAAACTCCCCGACCAAAAAAAAAAAAAACAAAAAAATCAACTCCAAAAAATACAAGAACTCAGCTACAACATCAACATCATCGACAACAACAACAACATCATCTTCATCATCTAACACATTAAGCAGATCTGAGCTTTGCTGATCAAAAAAAAAAAAAAAACAAATTTGAGCTTCATCATCTAACACATCATTGAGAGAGAGGGAAGACAGTTTCAGAGAGTAGATAGAGGAGAACGAGAGAGAGAGAGAGTCAAGATAGATAGATAGAATAGATATTATATTATATAACCTAAACACAATAGATACTATATTATATAACCTAGATATTATATTATATAACCTAAACACACACACACATATATCTATATATATATACGGGGAAATTTCAAGGGTGGTTTCGAGGTGGGGGCGGGCCGGGGCCGGAAAACTTATCACCGTCTCTGGCCCGAAATTGATCGGGGATTTAATTTTGAATACCATCCCCGTCCCCACGAGGATATTTTTTAGGGAAAAACCATTCTAATCGGGGTCAGGTCTCCGTCAGGCCAGGTTGAAATTGTCATCCCTAAAGGTCCCTCTATTATTTTTTAATAATGGAAGAGATTCACAATATTATTTTATGATGTCTAAGGTCCCTAAATCCTACACTCATATATCACAGAAAAATTTAAGAAGAAACCAAAGGGCTTCAAAAACTATCTCCGAGAGATCTAAGCTTTGGTCTCTCTTTTCTTTCTCTCTGTTATATCAATGGCATCTGTGTTGGTATCCAACAACAATTTCTCCACCGCAAAGTCTCTAGCACCGTCAACCAGCCGTGTTGCTTTTGTTTACAGTGACGTTCAAGGTCTTCCACGGCCGCCCTAGCTTTGCTGCCGGCGACCCCGACTCCTCATTCCGTTCTGTCTGCATCACCGCCACTGTTTCTATCTCCTCTTACCTCACCAAACCTTCTTTTACTTCCATCATCAAGCCTTTTGTTGAATCTCTCATTACAGAACAAGATCACAATTCTCAGATCGGAGCTGCGTTATGCCTTGCGGCGACTATCGATGTTACTCCAGATCTAGATGCTATGTATTTGAAGAAATTGTTGCCGAAACTCGAGAGGTTGTTGAAGTGTGATAGCCTTAAGGCGAAGCCTGTGCTGTTGATGTTGAGCGGAAGTGTGATCAGATCTGGAGCTACTTCGAGTCACCAAATTGTGAAGAATTTAGTGTCGTGTTTGGTTGAGTTTATTGGATGCGATGATTGAGCGGTGAGGAACGCTACGGCGGAGGTGCTGGTGAAGTTGGCATTGGTGGAGAGAGATTTAATGATAGAGTTTAAGGTGTCGTGTTTGAAGACAGTTGAGGTTAGAAATTTTGATAAGGTTTGAATCGATTTTGAGCTTTTAGATTATGGATTTGGTTACTTGAAATTGTGGATTAAAATTGAATGTGTGATTTGATCATAGGGGAGTATGTGATTTGGGTAGAGAAAATTAACAAATTTTTCTGGTCATCACACAGAGAAAATTAACAGACACAATTTTCTCTGGTTTGGTTAAAACACAGAGAAAATTATGAGCAAATCAAAAAAAAATAGTCAAATACACAGAGAAAATTGTGAACAAATCACAGAGATATTTGTGAAAAAATTAGAGAAAATTTAACCCTGAAGAAATTTCAAAACACAATTTCTCTAAATCGAATTTTCTCTAGATCAATTTGAAAGACCTTAGACATTATAAAAATATTAGATGTCATATATACTATAAAATCTTAATATGAGAGACTCTACAAAAAATCCCCTTTATTATATAAATAATTAACATGATACAAAATCAAATTATTTTCTTTTTTAATGAAAAATGACAAAGATGATCACAAAGGCATATATTGATTCTTCAATTCTCATCTTTTTTCTGTCTCTCTCTGACCATATAAATTATTTATCTTAATATTATTAATTATTTTATAAAAAAAATATTAATTAAGTGTAACCCTAACAAAACAATTAGCCTAACTGAAAAAATAAAAACATAATTAAAATAAAAAATAAAAAATCTCAAATTTGTGTCTATCACATTTTTCCTTGGCAATAATATCACGTTCCATCTCCTTAACCAGCGGCGCCGATAATCATCAACAACAACAACGTTGGATTCGAATTCCCAAGTTTCTTGTTCGGTGGTGGATCGATGGAGGGAGCTCATGGCTGATAAATCGCGGAACCTATTCTCAGTATTTATTTGATTTGAAAGACCCAACTTCATCAATATTCAAGCATCATGCAATTTGCAGACGACGATGCATGTGATGTTGAATTCTGAAACATTACTCATTTTATTTTTATTTCCAAATCTTTTGTCCTCATATTCACTCACTCAAAATCATTCAATTATAAAATATAAGAATTTTAAGATATCATTTTATGAGTTAGTGTTAATAATATTCCATTATCTTAATTTTTTATATTATTCAACGTGTCTTTCAAAATGAACCGTTATCACTCAAGTGTTTCGAGCAAGCCCACCAAGCTTTACAGTGTCTCTCCAAGTGAATAATTGGATAGTCAACCGAAGAGGATCCAAACTCATTAATGAATACATTATTATGATATACAAATATAATTATTATGATTGATAAGGAATGACATATCCCGTTGCTGGGAAAAGGCAAGGTAAAAAAAAGTAACCATGAACTAATTGAAAGCTAGATTTATCCACCAAACCTGCTTCACCCAAAGCTAAAAAGAAAGAAAAACCAATTGAAATCATGCTAAAAACACATCACCTACTCTATCAACAAAGTTGTCTAAATAAAGAGGCCATTCTTTGCATATTTTAAACATTTTTTGCCCATTGAGATTTGATTGAAAAATGTTACTAAAAAAATAAACAAAAAATTATAGCAACCAAAACCTCCAAGGGCTGAATGAGTTAACCCCAAAATTAAACATTAGTATGCAAGTTTTAAGGATTTTTTTTTTTACATGTGAATCAGAAACTATGCAGTTGGGTGAGCATAGAAACAAGCTCATCACTTGAAGGCCGATCCTCAGGCAAATCAGATAGGCATACCACTGCAATTCTCACTGTCATCAGTATCTCATCATCATCTTCTTCTTCTTCTTCTTCTTCTTCTTCTTCTTTTTCTACTTCTTCTCCAATTATACGCTTATCTAACACTTCTCGTGCCTCCCCTGCTTCTTGCAGATGCCTAAGCCACCCTCCCAAACTTCCCCCACCAGCTGCTTCCCCAAAGAATGGTTCCTTTGGATCTCTGCCAGTTAACAAGACACCCAGAATTACCCCAAAGCTGAAGACATCACTCTTATCAGTATACCTGTTGAGATCAAACCAAATGTCCACTTTCAGTTATATCAGCATATTAAAGCTTCAATTTTGGAACAATGCATATCCCAAGCCATAGATGAAACCAATTCAAGCATTAGAAGCTGATGATGACAATCAATCACAAAATTCATTGTTCAATTAATTTATGTTTATTGGCCAAAACAAACATAATGTCAAGAGTCATTAACAGAAGAGAAACAAGCCTTTCCAGATTGAGCAAACATTACAATAAAAAAACTTAAAATTCAAAGAGAGAAAAGATCAGTTGGTAATGCAAACAAAGATAACCAAAGTAAATGTAGCACTAAAACAAAAGGCAAGCATTTATTATTAGGGTTAATTTTACTTTTGTCCCTCAAATTATTGTTATTTTTTTTTATTTATTATTATTCCATTCATAAATTATCAATTTCATGTAATTAGTCTCCAGACTTTTCGATTTCAATTCACATGGTCCAATTGAAGACATCCGTCACAATCAGTAATGGTGGAAGCCTAAACAAACAAGCAAAAACTGTAATTTTACAATTTAGGCAACTTAAATCATATAACTAAACACTCATTTTCTTATGCACACGCATATTACACAACTTACAACCAAATCTTCTTCTCCAACCCTCCTCTCCTTTCATCCTCTCCCTTTCCCATCCTCACTTAAGTTGTTAAAATTCTAAAGTGATCTTTTTGCCCATCATATTAGGCTTCAACTTTTAGTAATTAATTTGGCTGAAATCAAAAACTCTTACGATGTTTTGGTTAATGGATTTGGAAATAAAAAATAAAAAGTAAGTGAAACGTAAATAAAATATACTTACATTTCACTTAGTTTCACACCCTTTCCCTTTCTCCTTCCAAATCTCCGACCAAACACAGCGTTAAGGATTAAATAGATGAAATTGATAGTTTATAAATGAAATAAAAAGAAGATAGCAATAATTTAGAGGATAAAATGGAATTAACCCCCGCCCCCCCCCCCCCCCTCTTTTTTTTTTTTTCTTCTCTCTCTCTCTCTCTCTCAAGATGTAAGACACCAAACTGGTTCCTATTGAATCCAAGAACCAAGATTAAATTAAAATTGCTGAGTATGTAGTCCTTGTGAATCCACTATACTTTCCACAATAAAATTGCATGGAAGTAGAATATGTAAGCTGCAACTTGAATGTCTTACTTCATTACCTGCAGTCTTGGAAACACTCAGGAGCACTGTATCCAGATGCTGCTCTATCCAATTCCAAGTTAGGCATCAGCTTATCCAACCCATAATCTGTCAACCTTGGTTCAAACTCTGCATCCAAAATCACATTGCTTGGCTTCAAATTGCAGTGAACAACTCTAGGTGTACATCCAAAATGCAGATACTGAAGCCCCTTAACTATCCCAACCGCAATCCGAAGCCTCACTTCCCAATTAAGCTCCAACTGGTTTTCCCTCACTCTGTTCATGGCATCTTCAAGGCTACCATTTGGAATATAGTCATAAACCAATGAAAACCTGTCGGGTTCGCGAACGAAAGCTCTTAAACTCATCAAATTCCTATCTCTTAACCTAGCAATGGATTCGACATCCTGCTGCATCCGTCTCTTGACTGACTTTCTTGATCCATTTTCCAAGGGTTCAAGCCTCTTGACAGCTACTGTGGGCCCATTGTCAAGAAGAGTCTTGAAGTAATTCCCATTAGGGCTTGAACCTAGTAACTGGTTTTGATTTGCAAGAGCTGATTGGAGGGCTTTGGGAGCTATGTTTGGGGAAAATATTACTGGGCCTTTGAGGAATGGGGTTTTGGCGATAAACCGAATGAAGAAACCAATTATGCAAGCAAAAAGAAGAGAGAAAATCAATCCTGTTATGATTCCAGAGAAAGTGCTCAGAATGATTCTTTGAAGACTGTTTTGGAGCTCCGGCGAGCGAGACGGTGTGGATAGATGATTGATAGACCTCTTTTTGCACTGAACAGAGGCATTGCATAAGCAGAGAATTACCAATATGAGTATGACTTCCATTGTTATGTAGTTTGTCTTCTCCATGAAAAGCACAGACCTTAACATCAAGAAGCAGAGTAGAAGCTCAAAAATCAAACAAAATCACATGTATGTGCCGATTCATGAGAATGGTTTTTTGAAACTTCAAAAAGCAGCTGAAATTTCCAGTTCTGGCTACAGAAGAGAATGAAAACCCAAGTCTAGGGTTTAGCTCAAATGAGCAGTCATAGGGTTAGCTGTTAGGGCTTGTGAGTCATAGTAAGAAAAGCTCAAGACTCCATCTTTTAATTTTTTTTTTTTTTTCCCCAGAAGAATTGTAGTAAGCACACTTGACATTTAAATTCAAGAGAGGACAAAGCCTATTACTCATCTCATGACTTGAACAAGCTTTACCCAACTGCAAAATCTGAGAAAAATCAAAACCCACCCAACCACCCCCCAGGCCTTTGTAGTTTGATTCTAGAACTGGATTGTATTATGTTTTCGTGAATTCCTTCACCGAAAAAAAAAAAAACCCCCCCCCCCCCCCCCCCCCAAAAAAAAAAAAAAAGAAAAGAAAGAAAAACTACCAGAAGCTTCAATCCTTAAAACACTACATTCGCATTCAAAGTTTGAAAAAACTCCACAAAGAAAAAGGTGTTATTGTTATTCAACAAATTCGTAAAAAATAAAAAATATTTCCAAAAGAAGAGTTGCAAAATAGAGTGAGGCTAGGGAGGCACAGACTAAGTGAGGGGGTGATTTTAATTTTCTTGGGAAAAGCTTGGAAATACAAACAAATAAAAACCCCTAACTACCTAAACTAACTGGTTCTTAAAAATGTGAACAATGAGTAGAGTGGAGTAGAGTAGAGGAGGAAGAATCAGAAACTAGTTTGTTTGGTTTGGTTTTGAGAGAATAGTTTTTAAAAATTGTTTTGAGAGTGAGGCTAGGGAGGCACAGACTGAGTGAGGGGGTGATTTTAATTTTCTTGGGAAAAGCTTGGAAATACAAACAAATAAAACCCCCTAACTACCTAAACTAACTGGTTCTTAAAAATGTGAACAATGAGTAGAGTGGAGTAGAGTAGAGGAGGAAGAATCAGAATCTAGTATGTTTGGTTTGTGTTTGGGAGAATAGTTTTTAAAATTTGTTTTGAGGAGGGAATTTAAAAAAAAATTTGATTTATTTAGTTGTGTATTTTAAAAGTAGTTTTGGAATTGAAAGTTTGAAATAATTTGATATTTTATTATAATTGAATAGATGTGTATGAGAAAAAAAATAATTAAAAAAGAAAGAAGAGAAAAAAAAAGTAATTGATTAATACGTAAAAAAAAAAAAAAAAGTAGACTTTGAAAATTATTTTGAAAAATTTATCAACCAAACAAATTTTTAAAAAAAAACTTCCCAAATTCACTGTAGAAATCCAAACCAAACATATACCCACGTTTCTCAGTCAAAGAAGTTCCAGAGATGATAAGATGATGTGAACGAGAATCAAATGAGATACCCTTTTCTCTCTCTAACAGTTGTCTCTCTTCTATGTCTGTGAAATGACATTGACTGCCGAAACCACAAAAATTGAGAGTGGGGTCCGGTGCCACGTAAGCAGCTGGTGGTTGTGGTCGTGTGGGGAGTGCGTCGCTGTCTTGTCTTGAGGCCGAAAGTGATTCATCCAAGCAACAATGATTCATCCCACTAAAAACATCACCACTAATAACACTAATGCATTAAAAAAGTAAAAAAAAAAAAAAAAAATACAACTCCAAGACCAAAATATCACATCATTAATGACAGGACCTACTGCCACCTAATTAGTGGGAGCACTAATTAGTGCTCCCAAGCATTTTTCTTCATCCAAGTGTGTGCGTCGATAGGCGAGAGAGAGGGGGAAGATCTCGGCCTTTAACTGTTTGTGTGCATGTGAAGCCTGGGCCGTGGATTTGGAACCCACAGGAATATGTATGTAGTAGGTTCGCTTTTTTCTTGTGATTATTAGGAGATGAAATTGCCATGTCTTTATTATCTTCAGATTAATTAAGCATAAAGTTTTCCCCTTTCCCCGATCCAATAATTGCTTTTCATTTCTTCAATATTTTTGTCCACATTTTTTTTTTTTATTTTCTAGATTTTGCATTTAAATAGGATATTTGGTCGTATTATATTAATTAAGGGAGCTTCTAAGCTAATCCATGATTCTTTTGCCCCCACTTTTCTCAAGGGACATACGCTTAACTCATGCACCAAGAGGTCGACTGCCTCACTCTTCCAAACTAAAGCAAGGGTTTCACTATCTCTTCTTCTTCTTTTTTCTTCTTTATATTGCTCTGTTCAAAAAGACCAATAAGTGATTTTGGCATATGTTATGCAATCAATTGATTCTATTAGATCCATTCTTCAGTAATGCATAGGCTCTTTTTTTTATTTTCGAAATAGATTTGGAAACGTGACTATCTTGAAAAATAACGAAGAATAATCAACAACAATTCTTCACTGAAACACATCAGTAACAATTCATATTAACTTCTTTTCAATCATACATACAAATGTTTTACAAATACTTTGTTTTCAAAAATAAAATATCTGATATTCATTAAGAACTCTCTCTCTCTCTCTCGAAATAGATTTGGAAACGTGACTGTCTTGAAAAACAACGAAGAATAATCAATAACAATTCTTCACTGGAACACATCAGTAACAATTCATATTAACTTCTTTTCAATCATACATACAAATGTTTTACAAATACTTTGTTTTCAAAAATAGAATATCTGATATTCATTAAGAACTCTCTCTCTCTCTCTCTCTCTCTCTATATATATATATATAAGTTATTGTCATCTATTGAGTCCAAATCCTAGAGTGTCATGCAAGAAAGAAACTACATGAACACGGAAGAGTTTCTAAAAACGGTTATATAAACGGTCACACGCGTTTGCTTATCTTTTGTTCGAGAAAATTCCTAAAGGAACTTGATTGTCTAACTAATTTCATATTTTGTAAAATCCATATTATCTCCTATTTACTAATTTAAATTGTTCGGCCATGGAAGGCGACAGACCATCGGCGTGGTCAGAGTGGTGATGTGGGAGACACAGAGCTATGCCTTGAGAGATGTGGAGCTGTGTGTTGGGAGATGTGGGGAACATGAGTGGGAGAAAAGAAGTGCGGGGAATTGTTAACTTTCGGATTCCATCTCATTGGGTGTAGTGTAGTTAAGAACTACTTAAATATTTTTTTGTTTTATTTTTTCTATTTTTGTTTATTTATAATTTAAAAATCGTGAGGCTGAGAAGTTAGTTGTGTAGATACGAGTAGCAGTAGTAGGGATAGATTTCACTTTTCAAAACTCTCTCGGTGCATTTCATCTTTATGTACCTTTAATTTTATATTTTTAATAAAATTTTTACTTTGCTGATCAAAAAAAATATATATTTTGTAAAAATAATTAATTAATTAAACACTCCATTTAATATCAAAATTAGGTTACACCCTCTCAAAACCGTAGCTTTATCCCTAACCCTGCTCTGGCTATCCTTTTCCACCAATTTGTAACTCTCCCACCACCCCAGTTCCTTGCATCTCTTTCACTTGTACTTCCACCTCCTTATCCTGAAGCCTCATTTCCTCTCATATTGAGCCCCCACAACCCCATTCGTGTCCCTATAACCTCTTTTTCTTCTTCATATTCAGACAAAAACTAGTAGCTTGTGTTTGATTGTTCTTCAACAAATGGAGGCAAATGTTTTATTCCATCTTATCAGACCAATGATCAATATTCGATACTTTTTCTAAACAAAATCCTATGCAATTTGAAACCCTAACCACTGGAGAGTTGTGTTGCAACAAGAATGAGAAGGTCATGGCGATGAAAAAGAGAGGCTTGAGTGATCGTTGTAGTTTAGGAGATGATAATGAAGTAGTGGTTTAAAGAGTTGGAGTAGTTGCTAGTGAGGGATTAATAGAGGTGTAAATTTGGCCCAGCCCATGTCGGGCCTCGCGAGCTTCGGCCAAAATTCAGATCAGTCTGGGCCACAGATTAGAAAATTAGGCTTAGGCTCAAGCCTAGGCCTAGCGAGTATTTGAGCCTTGGACGAGCCTAAACAATTTTTTTATTTTTTCAACCAAAATTTTATTATTTTTCACTGAAAAAGGCACTGAGCCTTGTACGGGTCAAACCTCAAGTTGGGCCTTGAGTGGGCCTTAAGCGAACAAATGAAAGCCCACGGGCCGAGAAAATGATGGCCCAAGCCCAAGGTCTCAGGCCTAAATGGGTCGAGCCACCCCGGGTCGCGAACCATTTTTACACTCCTAGAGATTAGGCAGTGGAGGAAGGGAAGTTGGAGTGATGATGTCAGTTGAGAGAAGGTAGGGTCTTTTTTCTTTGATAATTTTGCGTTGGATATAATTGTAATACAAAATTATAAAATGTAGGGGACCAAAGAAATTTTTGGAGGAATTATTTGTTCAGTAAATTCACAAGACAAGTAAAAATTTGGTTGAATTTAGAAAAAAATCTCACAGAAATAAATTTAAACAAAAAATTAACACAGATATGCATTTCAATACCAAGGTTTGATTGATTTATAATTAATTTTTTAATTTGTTTTAAAAAAATTGTTGTTTATCGCTTAGGTCAGAAATTAATTTTTAGAATTTTTGAGACTACATCTAGATTTTTTTTTTTTTTTTTTTAAAAAAAACTTGGTTTGAAAAAGACAACCCTCACAAAAATCAATGACCTTTTTATTCTCTCCCGTCCTCACTAATATATCGTTGTTGCCTACTCTACTAATTCCAAAAATAATTTAGTGATTATGAGATACTTTCATGTGGTAATTCATCAATGTGATAACTATTGACCGCAACAGTCAAATTTATATAAATATTTCTTTAATCTAACCTAAGGTACAAAAGAAGACGAAGAACATTAGCCATTCCATTCATCTAATGTTTAAATTAAACTGTGTAGCTCCAGGTTCATCAGATCAATAACTAATCAAAACAAGACACAAGAACTTTTCTTGCTTTAACCTAACTTAATATACAAAGAGTTGTATTCATGCCCATTATAACACAAAATCAACCAAATGAAAAAAATGTACAAACAAACACCCACGACACAACTCCCCAAATCCGAGGAGAAACCAAACAAATAAAACACTACATTACCTTACAAACTCCCTAGGCTCAAGACAGCTGGGGCGTCTTAACAATCCTAGCGCCAGTTTGCTAAGGCACGTAAACACAGGAGTGCAAACCTACCTTCCTCGTCAAACCCTCAAACCATGTGGCCACTATATCTCTCACTGGGGCCGTAATCAGCCTTGAATTCATGAAATATAATTTTAAAAAAATAAAAGGAACTGACACCCATTAAAAAAAAAATTCAAATCATTTTAAGAATATTAGCCATTTGAATCGGATAATAAAGCAAGAATGTCGCTGTCCTCAAAATTTGATTCCACTGCAAGCTCAAGAGGGGTTTTACCTTCCTCATCAACAGCCTGTGGATCAGCTCCCCTGCAGTTGAATAGAAAAGCTTTGAAGTCAAACTCGATAATTGATTTGTAACAGCATAAGAGAAGAGGTAGGAGGTTGAAAGATGGTGTTTGAAAGATGGTGTTTGAAAGAAACTTCTCCCATCGGCTTTACACAAACAGATGAGACTTTGGATATAGAAACATGAAGCTGGAAAGAGAGATTAGGTTAGGAGATTTGAGGAGGGATTTGGAAAGGGAAAAGGAAAAGTTAGGTGAAATGTGAATAAAATATACTTACATTTCACCTAGTTTCACACACCTTTTCCCTTTCTCTTTCTAAATCTCTCCCCAAATCCCCCAACCAAACACACCACAAGTGTTTGAAAAAGAGTAACATCTTTTGACCACTTGTGACTCTTGCTTCAGAAGCAAAACCTCATCCCCAACAGAAACTGTGAAAGTACAGTCACCTTTCTTAGAAAAGCAAAATTGGTCTAAAAGTTGTCTTGAAAAGAAGAAAAAAGACAATAATATATCAACAAGTGTTAGGAAGTCAGTCCAGGCTACCCCTAAATGAATAATAGGGAATCAGATATGACAATATAAAGACATCCGCCCATAATAATATTGATTCAATATGACAATTTTCATATTTCATCATTTTGCAGTGTCTGCTATTAACAAATTCCCAAGGTCCTATAGTTGGCTCTGTTAAGAAGACTAGATGCCTTGTTTTGAGAGAATGGTTGTACCTAAAGGCATAGCGGATAAAAGAATAAATACAACTACTTGAATTCAATACATCCCTATCTCCTATGAATTATATACTAACATATTTTCTCATGCTTATCTAGCAAAAATTAATAGACAAAAGAATGCCTTTTGCGGCTTTGACTTAATTGCCACAGTAAACCAAATAAGCTCGCATTTAAGTGAAGGCAATGCAAGGCAACACAAGCGATAGCAGCTGTATATAAATCTAGGGGCATTAAGACAGGTAAAGCCTGGAAAATGAGAACTTTCACAGGGGAAAAGGAAGGGGGGGTACGCATAATTGCGTTCTAAAATAATAAATAAAAAAAAAAGAAAAAAATAATGTGCAACCAGAATCACCAATTACCTTGAAAAAAGCAGCTTGACAAATGTAGCTTTGCCTGCTACAATACAACGATGGAGTGGTGTCTGACCTCTTGAATCAGAAGCATTTATGTTTGCACCATATTGTAATAGGAGCTCCAGCATGCCAATGTCTGCAGTTTCACAAGCAAGGTGAAGCAGGGAGCACCCCTCAATTTCCTCCACTGCGTGGCCTTTACTTGTGCCTGCTAAGTTTGAAGAGTTCAAGGAGGACTTCAACAATGATTCCTCAGGTAGGTAACTAGAATTGTGATCAAGGTTTGTCTGCTCTTGCAGCAGCATTACTTTGGCAAGGGTTAAGGTTCTACAAGACACTTGCTCGTACACAGCATTTACATCTGCTTCAGAGTTGACAATGAGACGATATACAGCTTTCTTGTCATTAATACGAACAGCCTCCCAGATATGTTGTGCGACATTGTCCCGGGACTTCCGAACAAAAAGTTTCTCGGCATACTGTAATCAGAAGAAAACAAAATTGCCTTCAACATCTTGTTTGGTTTTCAACACTCAAATTTTGTTTTTTGTGATTTTTTCTCTGTTAGTGAACTTTTTTCATACTTTACCTCTTTTTTTTTTTATTTTACTTTTTTTTTCATATTTTAGTTCTACTGTAGTTAATTATCTGCTGATGTTGCTTAATTATTTAGTAAGAGTAATAATTTAAAACCAACTAGAAAAGTAGAACATGACTTGTCCTATGAGTGAAATCAGGATAACTTGAGGAGGCTTTTCTCAAGCTAATGAAACATAACCTCCAAATCATGTAAAAGATCCTAAATGAAAAATAGCAAAAAAACATTAAGATATGTTATAATGTTATAGGAAAAGATAATATCCATAACTATCAATTTCATTAATTACAATGACCATGCACATATTAAAATTTATGCAAAATTAAATATGATTTTAGTTGTAGCTTTCTAGACTATGAAAAGCATAGGCAAGTTCAGAAAATATATATTCTCTACTAAAAGCCACATGCGTTAAAAATGAAGATTTTACAAGAAATGACCAGAAGGAAAAGATGAAAGTCGAACCTTTGCCTGAATGAATTTCTCCTTTGATGAAATTGAATCAGCATGACTGGGCTTGCCAATAAAAAGCAGCTGTGGCTTGTGAGACTTGCACAGGCTTCATCATTAGAACAGCAAGTGAATATTAGCACTATCCAAAAAAGCCCCAATTTAAGAGAATAAAAATGACTCTACATAAATTTGTAGACTATACAAGTTAAAATTGTAGTTTGGATTATTTACCCTGTAGGGACAAGATCAACCTGAAATCCACTTCTTGATTGCAATAGCTCCTCCCATACTGAGTTAGCAAAGGTATTTCCCAAAGACTGAAACAATGTTATCACTGAAGGCTCCCACACTTTAAAATCAAGAGTCAGTGACCTTACCTACAATACGAATCAAACACAAGACTAAGAGCTGAAGTCATGAACACAAGTGAACAGGCACCCTGAGGGAAAAACCAAAGATATTCAAAATGAACTCAATCTACTGTAGAGAGAGGGGGAAAAAGCAATAGTGTCACCTTTGTTGAGTTCAACAGAAAATATTCAAATACACAAAGGTTCTTTACTGAACCAAGCTAACAAAATATCAATACCCACTAAGTGACATGCTAAATTTCCATATACGTCAGCGCCCTTACCTACAATACGAACCAAACACAAGACTAAGAGCTGAAGTCATAAACACAAGTGAACAGGCACCCTGAGGGAAAAACCAAAGATGTTCAAAATGAACTCAATCTACTGTAGAGAGAGGGGGAAAAAACAATAGTGTCACCTTTGTTGAGTTCAACAAAAAATATTCAAATACACAAAGGTTCTTTACTGAACCAAGTTAATAAAATATCAATACCCACTAAATTTCCATATACTCTCCTCCATATGCTCACTTGTTGATATATTTAATAATATGTTCGCAAGGTGTAGTGTATTTATCACTAGTCCTGCAACAGTCCCAAGAAAAAAAGCCTTCCTCAACAAGCACTCTTGGGAGAAAATACATCCATTCTTTCCTTACAAGTGTGTGCTTCGATGTCGATATGTTTAGAATTCCTGCATGAAAATGGAAACCTCCCCCTTCGTGTATTTCAATTCTTCTATGTTTCAATACTGGAGTTTTTGAAAGAGAGTTCCATGAGAAAATCCAGCACATGGCCAACCTAGAGCCATTAAATGAACTCCCATCCCAAGCTCTAGTTAAATCTAAAGGGAACAAAGAAGATATTGAAACCAAGATGACAATAAACTAACTAAACCCACTGTACTGATGAGCTCGCTCTCCACCCCGAGAACAATCCTCCAAAATTACTTATTATGACAGATGAGAAGCTAGATGAAGGTGCATATCAAAAGAGTCATTGGATGAACATTCTAATACATCACATTTGCTTTTGCTGGATACCTTATACTCGAATCAGAACTTGTTAGGAGCTTCAGTTACTATGTTTTTTTACTCAGCATTTACATCATCGCTATGGACAAATGGAAATTAATATATGCACAGAACCTTTTCTATTTTGGTTAAGAAATATGCACCAAACAATTACAACATAAAGCACAATTAACATGCCCAGATGCCTATCATTTACCTTCGATATGTGCACGCCAAGGTTACGGTGAACCCCAGAACATTCAATGCAGACAAGAACACCAAGATTTAAGGATGCCCAGTCTGGTTCAGGGGCACCACAATCAGCACATTTATCATTACCACATACTTTTTGCAGCATGTTAATTGGCTTCTCACTTTTTATACAGGGACGTGAACTCCTTGATGTGCGTTCATGATTTCCAGAGGCAATCCTTTCGGATGTGTACTCTTCGACTGCTGCGTGATCAAAATCAGCACTCTCAAATGAACTACTCTCACTAGCAGACCGATGATCATTACTTCCCATGGGACTACCAGGCAAACACTGACATGTAAATAGATCTCAATTATCAACTGAGCATCAAAATCAAAGACCCTTAATGATAAATAGAGGTAAGAATTACCCTCTCAGGAGCCTGAGAACTCAGCAATGAAGCAATAACCCCGGTTATCTTCTCAATCCAATCCATTTGATCCAGGGCACTCTCAGCCTGCACTGACGAGAAAATACAAACATTGTTCTCATGACAAACATTAACCTTCACTAACAAGTATTCCATTGCTATTCAGGAATAAAATTGTTCCAAGTACGATATAAAGTCAGTATGACTACCTGCAAAGTGTAATTCTTCGTTGGCGATATAATCCTGAAGCAAAACCTCAGATCTGACTGGTCAGCATCAATTTTTATAGTTGATGTCAGCAGGTTCACAGTGTGATGGGCAACAGATTTCTCATCATGTACTCCACCTTGATAATGAGAAGAAAGCCATCGACTCAGCAGTCCAGAACCAAGTTCAGAACTATTCCTCTGACCAGAAAGTTGACTGCCAGATCCCTAAAGAAAATAGCTCAATGATAATAATAAAAGGTGGGAACAGAAATTAAGAACATAATGGACTTCAATCCATCAGCATCCAGACTATATTCCAAATAAATTACTTACAGATGGTTTGCTATTCTGTTTGCGATAATAATAGAGCATTCCTCTGCTATCAAGAACAAAAAACCTTCTTTTCCAGTCACCTCTCAAGTTTGAGGAACGTTTCGAAAGATAACCTTGTCGAATAGTTTGAACCTGAAATAATCCATTGGTTTTAGATGTAAATTTTAGATACAAAGTATAAAAATCAATTAGGAAAGAAAGGTGAAAAAATAAATGAAAACATAATACAGAGTTCCTCATTAACACAGAATGATCTTTTTAACCTTTCCCTTTGCAGCAGATTGCATAACTGCTTCTATCATTTTATGTGAACTTCTACCAATTGCTTGTATACCATCTCCATTAGGAGATCCATTAGAGCCATCTGAAGACCACCTGCTTTCTCGATCAACCTGCCGCTTGTACTCTTGCATCCTTTCATTAAGAGCTGCCTGCTCATAGTTGGATCTTTCTCTAGATTGTTGTGCATAAGTCAAGACCTGCAAGCAACGTGTGGTACTTCAACAGTTCCCAACTATTCAGAAACTCATGAATCCTTAATGTGAGAATCCTCAACATATTAACTCAACTCAATGAACCTCCTATGGGTACACAGTTATCCTCTTTGCCTTTCTGCCCAACCTAGGGCCAAATTTGGAGACCTAGGCCTCAAACTAGTCTAGTCTATAAACAGATACATGAGCTAACAAATGTAAGAAAACAGTTATGGTTAGCAATGCTAATTCTTGCCAACCATCCGGCTCAATCAAGGGCCACTTTCACTACCGAGTAGAATTATAAGAATGCAAGGTGCCAGCCAACTCAACTGATAGGGTCTCTTGGTGGACGTAACAGGGGAGGGCTACCCTCCATTTTGTAGCCCATCTCCACCCATCTCTGTTAGACCAAGAGAGGAAAAAAAAAATTGAATAATAAATTTAATTGCCTCAATGGACGATACATATCAAACGCATGATTTCAACTCTTGTTAACTTTGGTGATTCAGGAAAAGGGGGACATTTTTTGTTCATTTTGGGTACTGAAAGAGGATGTATTTTTACACATTTATGCATTATGATTAAGTTTAATAACACACATCAAGCAAACCTCAAAAATGTTCTTAAGAAATCTTTAGTCACCTGAGCTGAGTTTTTTTCTTATTTTTTTCTCGTGTTTTTCCCCCCTCCAGTTTAAAGGTTCTGGTCTAAACAACTTTGGAGGTGCAGTGGGGAGCTAGCCATGTGCTACTCATAAACCCCGACCCATGACCAGAACTGAGATTTTATGCACACAAAAAAATAATAAATAAATAAATCAAATTCAAAATGGTTTGAAATAGCCGGGCAAATAGTACCATATAGTCAATAAATTAAAGGTAAGTGTAAGAACAAACCTGATTGATATATGGCTCCATCTGATGCAACAGCTCGTAGCCCTACAAAAAATAAAAGCTTAGGAAGTCTACAAATACAAGTAATGAAATGCAAAACATTAAAAGTTCAACCAATTGTTTCACCTGTTTGAAGTAACGGAGATGAGCATCCATCGTACCACTAACTGCTTCCAAAAATTCAAACCTTTTTTTTGCTTCAACATTTGAAAGAGCAGTTATCTGGATAGAGAGGATCCAAATTATAGAACCTAAATCTTTTAAGGATAATATGTATGATTATCTGAAGGTGGAATTTTGCTGTATAACCAATTATGCTCATACATGCAAAAACTTACGTACCAGGGTAAAGCGAGCTTGCTCAAAAGCAGACCTTGTATTATGAAGCTCCTGGAATATTTCCAAAATATATTACAATTTAAAGAACGAAAGATGTCCACTACAAAGTTTGAGCATTATATGTATTTGAATAAGTTAGACATCATTTTAGGTACAGTATTCAACAATAATACCTCCTCTAAAACTGTAGCTATATCATTCTTTGTGCCTTTCCTCAGAGACAAAAACTTCTCACGAGCCTGCAGAATGCAATGTACTTCACAACTAAATACAAATTCAAAAATTACATTTGTCAATCTAATTTATCAACCCATAATTTACAAAACTTCTCTGCAAAACAACTGCAGGATATCCAACCTCTAGTCAGTTACATATATGAGGCAAATAAACACCAACAGGGGGCATAGTAAGACGGTACTAAAAATTTTAAGTTTTCATTAAGACACATTTCTCTTCTCTTTTTTTTTTATTTTATTTATGTGATATGTATTAGTGAGTTGCTATATAGTGGAAATTTGTCCAAACTCTATAAAACAACTAGACTCTATATCTATGGAGACTATAAATGCAGGATGTACCCTGGATTAAAACCTTTTGGGGATGAATCAAAATTTCATTTGGGTATGTAGTTTCAGTTATTTTGGGAAAGGAATCATAAGGAAAATGAGATAAAAATTTGAAAATGTATAAAAATGTTTGGAAACAAAAACCTAAATCTAGATAAATGTTAATACAAACTAAATAATTGAACATATTGAGGTTCACGGATATTAGAAGCTTATAATTAAATGGTTTGAAAAGACTTTGGTTGTTGGCCATTCTAAGAGAATTTTTTTTATTAAAAACAAAAACAAACACAAAATTCTAGTAGCAGCAAAGATGAAAAATTGACTTAATCATGCTTGTTTAACTTCTCATCTATATCTCTCCTATTCTCATAAGTATCTCATATTCTCTAATTAAATTAATTAAAATTTTTTATTCTCATATCAAGTAATCTTCTTCTCCAGGAAGTTCAGAAGTACTCCACGCCATATCTGGCGGTTTCATTCCAACTCAGTGCCTACCTAACTTCCCAAAGGGTTCCACAACTGGCCCACTCCACCCCAACCATCCAAACTCCATATATGATCTACTTCTTTACAAGGTCTACTCAATGCTGGCCTGTTTACAAATTAAGATCAAACACAGCATGTTCCCTCTTATTTGGTCATACGCATTCGCAGAGGTTCCCACCAAACAGAAATGACAAAGAAAACCTACAAAACACCTTTGAGGCATAACACAATAATTTAGTCTTCAAACTCTACCAATATAGCTGAATTCCAGAGTGGACATTTCAGTGACCAATTTGGGTTATTCCTGCCTACGTCCTGGCTTGAACAAAGATTTATTACAATAGAAATAAGTTTAATTACAAGGTCATATGTCAGAATGGCAACAATAATAATTCAAAGTTTCCAATATAAGAATCACCTGGTCGTAAAGAAGGCTAGCCTTGTCAAAACGCTTCCGTGCTTCCTGCACCAAGACAAGATCCCTTAGACACTGATACAATTATTACAAAAGGTTAACAACCAGATGCTCTAAAAGCTTAAGCTGTTAGAAATAGTGCAATTTAAGCACTTAGATATCAATATGACCCCTCACATGTCACCAGACTTAAATGAGGTGGGCCAAACACCTGCATATACTAACCAGTAGCCGCTTAAATTTAAAACCATGATTTGATTACTCTGATGGCATGTCAATAACAAAGTAGTGTAGAAGCTTAACTTTTTAGAACTATTACTCAACTATCAATCAGGTACGCTGCAAAGGAAAGCATGCACAGGCGACCAGAGTCAGAGAAATAAGATCTCACAGAAAGTCTGTAAAGTAAGAGACCTTCGCTAAAGAACTAACCCAATGACTTATCACTTGAAATGATAACTTTATCCTGCATGGTAAATTTTCTGAGATCCATAATTAGGAGGTGAGAGAGAAAGGGGAGCACCCTCCGCATTCAGCAAAAAACTGGTTGCTAGAACATTCCCCATGTCCTAAAGATGTGAAAAGTGAAGTAATGTCCAAAAGATCATGTTTAAAAGGTAAAGAGATTGTGCAAGCAGTGCATCACTCCAGGAAATAGCTGCAATTGAATTCACTATTCCATTATAGGAAATATGGGAATATGAATGACTTTCCCATTTACACATCCCCAGATCTCCCCTATGAACAGGCATACATGGCTCGTCCAAATTCACCAACTGATACTAGAAGTCTACTCCCTGATAACCACCCCCCTCCCACCAAAACAACAACCCTCTCTCGAACTTCTCCAAGCTCCTCACCAAAAGTTAGGAATAGCTAAAACACAAATCATATAGGTAGGTAGATTATAAAGAGTACATTTACTAATACCTTGACATCATGCAAATCTATATTGACAAATTGCAGTAGCCGGTCATTGAGCATGTGTTCAACCTGAAAACCCAAATGAAAAATGACAGCCAAGAAAGAAAACTGTCACTAGCCAAATAAACGAGAAACATCACATACATAATGCATAAGAAACGGAACAATTTCTCTCACTTTTTTCTTTTCAAGTTTGTAGGGGGGTGGGGGGGAAGAAAGGCATCATGTTAAAAAATGATGAAAATAGGAGAGTATCAAGAACAAGAACAAAACTTCTCCTCTATACTCTTCTTCTGCAAGTAGGTCAAGAATACACAACTTATCTCTTAAAAAAGTAGAGAACAGCAATGTCGTAAATTAATTTACCCTGAGAACTCTAATTTTCAAACCAAATAAATTTTAGGAACATATTCTTTCAAACAAGAGTTCTCCAAATCGAAACCAGCCAAGTTCTCTCTATAAGTGTAGAGTACAATTTGCCTTCGTAAAATGATTCCAATATGAACACCAATGAACCTCCAGTGTAAAAAACCAAAAATAAAAATAAAAATAAAAATTCAAAGCTGTGATGTTAGTTCCTAAACCTGATATGAGAGTTTTAGAAGTATCCTACATACAAAAGGAGAAAATAAGTGATCCCCAAAACCAGTTGATGTCCAACCTTCAATGAAGAAAAATAGCCCTTGAAGGGTTTTATCAACCAAGATCAAGATTTGACGTGATATTTTCATTTCTAAAACCTACATAAGGCCAAGGTTGTGGGGATAAGAAAAAGGAAACTAAAAAATAAATAGAGAATCGCATATGAAAAGAAAAGGCCAAAATTGAAGGAATTCAGTGGACTGCAAACCCAAATAACTGCAAAGTATATTTATTATAGTAGCAAAATTTATTCAAAAATTATCATTTAAATCATATTTTGACAAGCCATTGAGGGTTGCATCATTAAGAAAAGCAAAAAAATCTTTACCTGAGATCTGAGAACTTCTTTGTATGTCCCAATTTCCCTCAATGCAATTGTAAATTTTGTCATAACAGGGCCTGCAGAAGCAACCAGAATTTTTCCATTAGTAATATCACTAAACATAATTTTTTGCATATCATAGCCATTTACATTCTCTTTTTCTTTTTTTTTTATCAGCAACAAAAGAAGATTTTTATTAAAATAGAGAAGAAAGAAAAAAGAAATAAAAAGGAGGACAAGAAATCCTAAAAGGTGAAAACCAAAAATATCAACTAATCAACAAACTGGATTCAGCTTTTACAAATTGCCAAAGAGAGAAACGAAAATAATCGGCATACACACCTAACATGGCCGGGTAAACAAGGTGTCTGCAAAGTTTATAGAGGCTTAACATTGACATCAAGGAATTAGTACGGGCATACACATTATATACTAAAGTTCCATATATTGAAGTTTCTTATATAATAGAAGTTTACATTTTTAAACTTCATGTATCTTGAACCAAACATGGTTGTAAATTTCACAAACTTCCAATCACTTTTCATTTTTTCTTCTACTGTAACCACGTACAGTGTGTGATATGATTCAAACATTGGTGATTAAATTACTTTGACTGAAGTTTGATAATCTTCAGTTGGTTGAGGTTATGCAGAAACAGAAAACAGAAACAATCTAATAGGGAAAGGAAATATACGCGAGAGAGTGAAACCCTTGTCTGAGATCGATCCTCTCTACTCGGCATCGACACTTGATCTAGCCACAATGTTCTCCGTCTTACTCTTCCATGTGACTAGATTATCATACCCATGGCTCATCTAAATTCAGTACAAGATCTGATACCATGTCTTGTTGGTTGTGTTATGTTGAAACAAAGATAGAAAGGAAATTGATAGGAGAAGGAAATAGATGAGTGAATGCTAAACCCTTGACAGAGCTATAGCTCATTAAATTTCCTAACAATTATAAACTTGGAAGTGCTGGAATCTTTATATTTTCCCGTAAGCTTTCCTGAAATACTTAATATTCCAACTCAAATAAAATCACAGTTAAATTCAACTTGTTAGTGTGATGCTTTGAGATAGACAGGATTTCAACTTGGAATCTGTCTTCAACTTCTATTGTTTTTCTTTCTTACTTCCTTCCCTTCTTCTCTATGTTTTCTAGAAAAATGTAAATACCTCCTACCCTGCCATGTGTCTATTTAAATGATGACATGTGCCTTATACATGGCATATAGTCTACATGTATCAATCTTCAAGGGACACATGTGCAGTTCAAGTGCTACGGCCCTACGGGCACGCCGAATGGGTTTAGAGAACCAACAACAATTCATGTGTACGTAGGTCATAGACTTCATCATTATGCTCACAGAAGTCAAAAGTTTAAGCCATCTCAAGACCACAGTACTCATAACCGCGCATCAAAGCACTGTGGGGTCATACCGAGCACCATAGCACTTATCTGCAATCAATCTACTTACCGTAGGACCGCGTATATCACACCATGCAACTAATAAAGCTAAGCCACAAGACAAGACCTAGGTGTGCCGAAGGATTTAATATACACTGCAGGACTATGGAATCTTTTGGAGGCAAGAGATGGAGGCTTCGCCTTGGCATTCTTCCCCTCATGGGTCTAGCCACCATACGCCAATCCTATTGAGACAAAGAAATCCCCACTAGGCTTCTCCAAAATCAGTGTGTCATCCTACCAGTAAATATGACAAACATTCTGGATATCTAGTTATGACCATAGGCTCATATCCCATATATAGAAGGTGATACTTTAATTACAACAAAGGTAGAATACATTATCTCAGGTCGAGCTCAGTACTTTGAGCTCTCCACTGCCTCTCTCTCTCTCTCTCTCTCTCTTGGCTGGATTGCTCTATGTCTCCTCCAGTCATCGCCTTTGTCTCCAATGCCTCTAACATGTTTTGCCACTCACCCGGTCTACCCCTATCCACACAAAAGTCCAAGTACATGCCCAAGCATAACAAATTATGACTATTGAAGCATGAAACAATGCTTCAACTACGTGTACAAGCTTGAATTTGTATTTTAACATATTTTCATAATTAACACAAAATTCCAATATCCAGATTCCAGAAACACAAAAGTCCAACATAAGATCAATAGACAAAACTTCTTATGATGTTCATAAGAGTCTAGTTATTCACTTCCACAAATTAGTCCCCTCAATCCAAGACTCAAATTTTATAAACAACATACATATTGCTAAAGAATATCATATTGTTTTAAGGTTGTTCATACCTCATGTGCCTAAAAAGAAATAAAGACTTTGTCATGCAAAAGGTTCCAACATGAACAAGCTAGAGTATGTATTATGACTATAAATGCACCAACTTGCATCCAACTCACTACCCAAAGCAACTTTCAAGAAAAAAATCCAACATCTAGACATACCTCCGAAAGCCACACTAATTGGATCATTATGCCCTCCACCAAAATTTTCTAGGGCACTGGCAAAAGCAATGTCCCCATCATATCCCTCGCCAAGTCCTTCACTGCAAGTTAAAGAACAAACAGAAACACCAGCATCACTTACCATAAAATACACTAACTTGATAATAATTTACCAACATAATGGGCAAAAAGGATTCATGTAACCGACCATACTTGATTGGGACATAAGGCTTAGTTTGAATTGGTTTCTGTATGATGGTCATAAACGACCCAAATCAACAACCTATCAATAACTCTTCACTTTCTTTGGAAGGCAAAGGAGCCAGACTCATCCAACTAACAAAAGTTTGTGCAGAATCAATATATCTTTCCCTTGAAAATCAATATCAACATAATGCAGAATTTCTAGCCAAGGACAAGATCACAGGGATAACAAGAAAATTAGATTTTTGCTAATGTAAACTTTGTTCATTCTCTCAATTTCATTCCTATCTAATATGTTTCACTTCTTTTTCAAACCAAAATTGTTCATCAAAACAAAGATATTAAAAAGTTAAGAACATCCGGGGAAAAAGAACACCAACTTATTGAAGCATATTATCCTGAAAACAGAGTTATGGTTGAAAATTAGATGACATTAACATCTTAACATAGGGAACAGCTATAAATTGAAGTTCAATTAATGGTGCCTAATCAAATTGAAGCAACAACATATCAAATTTATGCAAATGAATGATTGAATACATAAATAAAATCAAATATAATCGAAATTCAAAGATATACGGCAATTGCAAGAAAAAGTTAAAAAATATGAAAGAAAAGTTGAATTCGTAAATCAGGCAAAAGTTCAGAGACAAGATTAAAAATGTACTCACGTGTATTTCCGACATCCTTTGTAAAATTTTAAACTTCTTTCCCTCGGGGATTCAGCACTCTCCTCCAGGCATTGCATCTGTTTCACCAAAGAAGGCATCATCATGACATTTGGAGCACAAAACAAAGTCAAAATAGTTTTAAAATGAAGGCAAAAGAGATAGTGGACAGATGATATACCCCCCACAGGCCATCACAGCCAAGAATGATGAAGTGGTCTCGCTCTGTAAGCTTCGATGGAGCTTCGAAATCGGTTCGATCTGGAGCTTCGATGGAGCTTCGAAATTGCTTCGATGGAGCTTCGAATATCTGAATCTTCGAAACAATGACTAGGAGCCATCGCTTAGTACACTGGTAGATTGGTCAAGCTTCCAAAGTGAGAGCATGTCAATTCAAGTTTGACGGCATTGTTTTTTATAGTATATATTATGTTGAAGGTTAGGTCTATATTCCCCCAACTCCCTCTCAGCACCCTTGATAATCGAAGACCACCACTGGTGGATGGCGTTTTTAGTTCATGAAACAATGGCTATATGTACAACCGTGCAAACCAACCCGAATCAAAAGGTTTGCATGGCAGATAATCAGTGATCCTTTGTGTCAAGGAGTAATCGTTAACAAATAAATAGGTAAGTGCAAGGTTCTGAAAAGCGGTTGCGGTCGCTGTAACGGTTGCGGTGACGCGGTTGCGGTTGTGGGGTGTAAAGGTCGTAGTGTAACGGTTGCGGTAACCGGAACCGTGAATTTTTTTATTTTTCGCACAATTTGAAAAAAACTTACCGATACACATATTTTTTTTCCATGATCATATTTATTGGGTTAAAAATAAATATTGATCAATTTTTGTAAATTTTTAAGTATGATCCAATATATTTTATATTTTTAAATCACTATAAACTGAATTTTTTACATTTTATTTTAATAATTAATGACTTTATATTATACAAAAAATCAATCACTAACTATTATATATAAGATAAACAATAACAAAAGTAAGAGAATAAATAAGAGCCCCAATATATATATACACATATTTTAACCAACCCAAATAGATAATGACCATTCTTATTATTATTATTATTTTCAAACAATATATCTAGATAGACACACATAAACAAAATGGTTTAGTGATAGCAGTTGAATAGAATAGCATAGGTCATACAGCTTAAACAAATCAATGACATGTTCTTCATCTTCCCTCCTCTCTCTCTATCTTTTGATCTTCCATTTTCTCTTTTTATCTTCCCTCTTCTCTCCCTCTTCTCCCATTTTCAATTTTTTTTTGTGTGTTTTTTCGAAAGAAACAATTTGGAACTGTTACGTAACGGTGCGTAACAGGCCGTTACGATTGTTACGGCGATAACAAATTATGACTATTGAAGCATGAAACAATGCTTCAACTACATGTACAAGCTTGAATTTGTATTTTAACATATTTTCATAATTAACACAAAATTCCAATATCCAGATTCCAGAAACACAAAAGTCCAACATAAGATCAATAGACAAAACTTCTTATGATGTTCATAAGAGTCTATTTATTCACTTCCACAAATTAGTCCCCTCAATCCAAGACTCAAATTTTATAAACAACATACATATTGCTAAGGAATATCATATTGTTTTAAGGTTGTTCATACCTCATGTGCCTAAAAAGAAATAAAGACTTTGTCATGCAAAAGGTTCCAACATGAACAAGCTAGAGTATGTATTATGACTATAAATGCACCAACTTGCATCCAACTCACTACCCAAAGCAACTTTCAAGAAAAAATTCCAACATCTAGACATACCTCCAAAAGCCACACTAATTGGATCATTATGCCCTCCACCAAAATTTTCTAGGGCACTGGCAAAAGCAATGTCCCCATCATATCCCTCGCCAAGTCCTTCACTGCAAGTTAAAGAACAAACAGAAACACCAGTATCACTTACCATAAAATACACTAACTTGATAATATTTTACCAACATAATGGGCAAAAAGGATTCATGTAACCGACCATACTTGATTGGGACATAAGGCTTAGTTTGAATTGGTTTCTGTATGATGGTCATAAACGACCCAAATCAACAACCTATCAATAACTCTTCACTTTCTTTGGAAGGCAAAGGAGCCAAACTCATCCAACTAACACAAGTTTGTGCAGAATCAATATATCTTTCCCTTGAAAATCAATATCAACATAATGCAGAATTTCTAGCCAAGGACAAGATCACAGGGATAACAAGAAAATTAGATTTTTGCTAATGTAAACTTTGTTCATTCTCTCAATTTCATTCCTATCTAATATGTTTCACTTCTTTTTCAAACCAAAATTGTTCATCAAAACAAAGATATTAAAAAGTTAAGAACATCCGGGGAAAAAGAACACCAACTTATTGAAGCATATTATCCTGAAAACAGAGTTATGGTTGAAAATTAGATGACATTAACATCTTAACATAGGGAACAGCTATAAATTGAAGTTCAATTAATGGTGCCTAATCAAATTGAAGCAACAACATATCAAATTTATGCAAATGAATGATTGAATACATAAATAAAATCAAATATAATCGAAATTCAAAGATATACGGCAATTGCAAGAAAAAGTTAAAAAATATGAAAGAAAAGTTGAATTCGTAAATCAGGCAAAAGTTCAGAGACAAGATTAAAAATGTACTCACGTGTATTTCCGACATCCTTTGTAAAATTTTAAACTTCTTTCCCTCAGGGATTCAGCACTCTCCTCCAGGCATTGCATCTGTTTCACCAAAGAAGGCATCATCATGACATTTGGAGCACAAAACAAAGTCTATAGGTAACCAACCGGTATCCTAGATGAAATCAAAATAAGGATCAGAGGGTTGTATAGGCAGGTTAAATTCAAAGCAAACACAATTTGTAAAAAGTATGTGAAAACGTAGAGTATGCAGAGATGGCAATTAAGCAAGTTTTAAGTAAAACACAAATATCACTACTTACAAGAAAGAATCCACCAAACAATGACTAGGAGCCATCGCTTAGTGCACTGGTAGATTGGTCAAGCTTCCAAAGTGAGAGCATGTCAATTCAAGTTTGACGGCATTGTTTTTTTATAGTATATATTATGTTGAAGGTTAGGTCTATATTCCCCCTACTCCCTCTCAGCACCCTTGATAATCGAAGACCACCACTGGTGGATGGCGTTTTTAGTTCATGAAACAATGGCTATATGTACAACCGTGCAAACCGACCCAAATCAAAAGGTTTGCATGGCAGATAATCAGTGATCCTTTGTGTCAAGGAGTAATCGTTAACAAATAAATAGGTAAGTGAATCAACCAAATTATTCTTAATCTAATTGAAAAGAGGAGATTTGTAAATCCCAAGCAAGTAAAAATGATGGTTCCAAAGTGATAAGTGAGATTATTCTGCAATGGGAACCAATTGAGTTAAGTTGTCAGAACAACTATTTTCAAGAATAAGAGGCCCAATCCATTGGAGGTTAGGTTCAAACTTGTAAGATGATCGCAGGTATTTCACACGAAAATAAAATAAAGAAAAAAAAATTAAAAAAAATCCTCAATTAAACCCAGTATTTGATTTCTGTGTATCCATCTCCCAAAATTGATCATGCAGTTAACTTGGAAAGCTCTTCAGAAGTTTCCAACTAGCTTTAGTAAATTGAGTAAAAATGTTTGTTAAATTCTACACTTATAAAAACGAATTTACAAGGCAAGCCAAAGTGATGAAACTAAATAACAGAACACAGAATCAAATCCTGCTAGTTGGAATACAGCGGTCGAGAGAGTGGGGGAAGAGACAACCGACCTGTTTACGGAACATAGGAGAGTCGTCGAGCTTTGTGAAATGCATGTTTGAAACAACAATTGATCCTCGTTTGTGCAGTGTATCTTAGTAAACATCACATCTATGATTGATCTTCTTCAGAGATTGAACCTATTCCAGTGTAGCTAACCACAGAAAATTCAGTCGATGCTCTCAAAACCAAACAAGATCTCTCATTTTCCACCGATCTTAATCAAACAACTGACTAATCACCTCCAAAAATTCAATCACAACAAATTATACTAGTAATATCTGGAAAAAAATAAAAATCCAAACCAGAGCGAGAAAACAAGTAACTACTAAATCAGCATAAGCTCCAATTTTAGAGTCGTGGGAGTTCGAAATTGAGCTAAAATGGTTGGTTCAAAACCCTAGAACAAACAAACAAACAAACCAGAGCATTAGTAGCAGCAAGCAAAGCAAGAGAGAAAAACCCTATGAAGAAGAGTTTTTAATAAATAAACCCTATGAACATGTTTGTGTTAATGGCAAGTCTCTCGGGAATTGAATGTATCAATTAGTAGGATTAAGAGACGATTTTTCCATTAACGTTAAAATTATGAGAGAGAGAGAGAGAGAGAGGAGAGACAAGCAGACATTGATAAAAGAGAAAACAGAGCTTTTTCTGTATTTTTCTTTTTTCTTTTTTTTTTCCTGCAAAAACTACAGTGTACGCTACGATAATTAAAAAAAAAAAAATGATTTGCTTTTACTTTTTTAAGGTTTAATTTGAAAACTTAGTTTTAATTTGCTTTTACTTTTTTAAGGGTTAATTTGAAAATTAATTTGAAAATTTAGTCAAAAAGTTAATTTTTAATCTATTTTAACTTATATCCTCGCTTTAATTTTTTATATATTTTTTAAAAAAAATAAAAAAATTAATTTTAATTAATTTTTTAAAACAATTCTATAAGAAGTACGAAAGACGGGCTTGGACTTCGGAGCAGAGATGCAGGGCCCCATTTGGATAGAGACAAAAGTGATAGTCGCCCAAACCCATTTTTTTCAATGACACATGTAAATATTTACATGTATATATATATATATTGATAATGCTAACCGTTCCGGGCAGATGGGTCGGGCTGGTTCAGACTCTTCAAGTTTCGGTTTGGGGTGGTGATTCCGTCAAATGACCTGCATGCAAGTCCAAAGGGGAACGGGACAGTCCCCCAGTGAACCTTCCGGCGCGAGAATTAGTAGAGGAGGAAGGAAATGTAGAGAGAGAGATGGAGAGATAAAAAACTTAACCTTTTTCTTATCTTCCTATTCTTGCTTATATCCTTTGGTAATCATTTCAATGTCCCTCGTGATGTGCCCCCTTCTGTCGAAAGCCTATGCCGTAGCTTACCTTGTTTAGGGCGAGGGGACTCTGTTCCGACGGGGAGGTGTTGTCGTAATAAATGTTGTGATGGGATCCATTAATGGTGATGTGTTGTGGTAATAACTCTGCAGATCTTTGTCTGTTGATGTGGCCCGTGTTCCACCTGCCATGTGCCCGAATGCCATTGGCCCCTCATGTCTAGATGGCCTCCAGCTGTCCTGGGCTTTGCCAACCGGGTTATGCTATTGGTCCTAAGCGATGGGTTCGGAGTGGTTTGCTGTGGGCCGTATGCCTCGTGGCCCTATCCATGTCATATATATATTTTTTACAGTGGCTTCTCCGGTGTTGTTGAGTTTTCATAGGTCCACTACTGATCTCAAATCAAGAATCTGTGTTATTTTTTTTTTTATATAAAAAATAATATTAATTGAATATTAATAATCACTTGATTAAATTATATTTATATTAATAGTAAGTACGATTTTAAAAATAAATTATTGATATAAATGTGATATAATTAAGTAAAAGTGATATTTTACAAGAAAAAAACACTCGACAAATTCTATATATTGAATGGTTTGATCATTAATATGACTTTTATAATAAACTCACAGAGGTCCAACAATACCTTCTAATTGAATTAATCAAGGGGGAATAAGCCTATCTCTATTTTTATTATTATTATTATTATATACATCAATTCCATTTATTTGAATCAAAGCTTAATACTGTAGAAAATATCAAATTAGTGATTGTTTCAAAAAGCAATTAATTAAAAAGCAATTAATTAAATTTTTTAAATATTACTAATTATAATTATAATTTTTTTCATTAATATGTAATTACTTTTAAAAATTCTACTGGGTGTAATTACCCCAAGCTTAAAAGTGAAAATGTTATTTTGTTAATATAGAAAAAATTGCCTCAATTAATGAAAATATGGAATACGATAAACAAAACCACTTTCTTTTTTTTTTTTTATTTATCAGAAAAACTTGAAATTCATAGAAAAACCCAAATGGCTCGAATTACATAGTATGAAAGAAAAGACAATTAGCTCGGACCACACGAGGTCGGGCTACCCAATTTAATTGTAGTTAATTAGAAAGACAAGCACGAGCAGTCCAATGAGCAGCCCCATTAACATTTCTGGGGCACCAATTAAAAGACACTCTTCATTGCCCAGCCATGGAGCTCATATCCTCAACAATAGCACTGCAATCCCAAGGGGCAGCGTCTTCCGAAACACATAAATAAATGACACTCTTACAATTCCCTTCGATTTCAACATGACACAGATTGAGGCTTCGTTTGGGAAGTCATGGTTTGGACTTTTTTAGTTATTTTAGTCACAAAAAATAAAATAGGTTATTTTAGCCATAACAAACAAAACATCACATTCAACCCATAATCATTACATTCTTCTCTCACAAAAAAATTCAAAAAAGCTAAAAAGTCAAAAAATCCTTCCCAAACCAAGCTTTTAAGCCCAGGCTAAAATAGTTAAAAAAATCAAAAAATCAAAAAGCCAACCCACTTCCCAAACGGAGGCTGAGAGTAATGGCCACTGAACAGGCCAACCATACTACTAGAGCCTCCCCTGAGCTACTGAGCAAAACCACTCGTTAAAATATGAAATGTATTGGCTAGCTGGATTGTTAAAGTCTCCAAGTAAATAATTTTCAAGTCTTAGCCCCGGTTTGATTTTTGAGTTTGGACTTAATAAGTATACATGGACACAAAAAAAATTATAAAATCACAAAATGACAAAACATTTTGCTTTTGATGCAAAATTATTAAATTGACCCATATACAAACAAAAAGTCAAAAAAGCATCATTTCGAAGTGGAGGGTAATTTTGTCATTCCAATGCAAAAAAACCAAAAAAGCCAAACAAAAAAACTAAACCAACAAAAAAGTCACAGGCTAAAAAAGCCAAAAAGCCAACATTGCCAAACGACCGCTTAGTTTCGAGTTGTTATCTCCTTCGATATTTGAGATTAATATGTGGTATTCAGAATTTCATTTAAAAAGTCTCACAAAATATAAACTTGGAAACTTCTTAATATTAACAAAACAAGTTTTTGAATGTGTAAGTGAGATATATTTCAACTCTTTTTTTCCCAAATGTTGAATTGAGACTTTTGTTTAAATCATGCATAAGGAGCAAATCATCAGAGACCGACAAGATATTTGTGGAATAAGCACTCTGATAGCTAAGTCAATTCTTAGATATTTGTGAATTTCTCAAGTATATGAAGAGAGGTGTTCTCCCCTTGCTATTTATAGAAGCTGGCATGGTGTGCCTTCGTCGACATTTCTCTCTTTAAAAGTATCTGTAGGGGGGTTCAAGGTCGGAGAGGTGATTAGAGAGGCAAAATTATGCTAATGGTCCAATAATGATGGAAATGGCTGGAGAATGAGTAACAGCAACTATCTGGGAGTTAGAGAGTGTATAGCTAGTTGAGGGTGAAGCAAGTAGCTCAAGAAGAAATGTATAGCAGTGCCAAAATGGGCAGCATTTTTCCCAAATCCCCAAAATTCCTCTTCTTGAACCTTAGGAAATGAATCATATTTATAGGCTATTCTTTGGTGCCAAAAGGACATCCAGTGGCTAAATAAAGAGAAGACATGTGTCCCAGAGGATCACATGAAATATTCCGCCTTAAGCCACCAGACTGGCGGTGCCACGTGTCCCTCTACATGTACTGTGTACTATCTGTTTGCCTCCGCAACTACCTTTTTGAGCCTCAGCAAGTATAGTTGTGACGAGAGTGTTTGGCGCTACAACTCCCTTTTGAGCCTCAGCAAGTGCAGTTGCAGCGGGAGTGTTTGCCTTTACACTTGCCTTCTCAGCCTGAACCTCAGCAAATGCACTTGCAACGGTGAACCTTGCCACTGCACTTGCCTTCTCAGTTCTATTTGGCCAGTACATGCATTCTCAAGACTCCATTAGTTTGCTATCGACTATGTTCGTGCTCACTTCAGCGAAGCCTCCACCCTTAGCCACCTAACCACAAACTCCCCAACTTCCTAGGGCAAATATCACAACCAAGCCTGCTATCGATCATGATATGCCTTAGTACCAAGCCTAAGGGGGCTTCCTTAGTCTTGACTGTGCGACTAAGGCAGGTCCATAACCTGGGTAATGGAAAGGGAGTCCCTTATATTCGAGCTACCCTGCTCTCATCTTCGCGGGATTACTGCAGTAAACTGGTATCTCTGGGCCTACTATCAACTCCAACTAGTAAGTCTTGGGGCCTGCTATCAGCACCAAGTATTAGCCTTTACTTGCAGAGGGAGACCTCTCTTAAAGGCTGCTATCACCTTGGCAGGATATTCTTTCTGCAACTTAGTTGCTGCGGTCGTAGTTGCTGCGCTAACCATTTCCTGTGGCGAGTTCAGACGGCAAGACCGAAGATATTAGAGATGGCGGCACCGAAAGAATGCCTCCATAACTTAGGCGTTACAAGTACTACCTCTGCAACTTAGTTGCTTCGATTTTCTCCTTTTCTCAGCAACTCTAGATGGTTGTGGTACCGACATTATTTAGAATGGCGGTGAAACCGACATTACTTGAAATAGTAACGCTGAAACGAAGTGCCTCCGCAACTTGGCCATCACAAGTGTTGCCTCTGCAACTTAGTTTCTTTCCCTTAGCAACTTCAGATGGCGGCAGAACCGAAGATATTAAGAATGGTGGCGCTAAGGTAAAGTGCCTCAGCAACTTTCCCGATGCACATGTTCCCTCCGCAACTTCACCGATACAGGTGTTGCCTCTGCAACTTGACTTAGGCATTTTCCTTCGTGGAGTCTACTTGGACTCTTAGCGGGTCGGACCTGCTTCGGTCCACTGTTGGCCCACTTCCCTTGGGCTTTGGCCCATGCTCCTTTTTCATTCCTGGTCCTCTCTTTGGGGCGACCTCAATACTTAGGCCCATACTTAATTTTGGGCTTAATTTCTGACCCTCTACATTTTCCCCCTGCGCGCATGGGGGACACGCTCTTGGTTTCCCACACATGTATGATGTTAGCAAGTAACCCAAGGGTTGCATCGGTTGGGTCAGAAGTTGCGTCGGCCCTGAAAAGGTGCCTCCCTTGACTGACAAGTCATAATGGGCCTAGGGAGGCGTGTCGGTGCCCTTTTGCTGCTTCCTTTATAAATAGTGCCCTTGGATCCACTGGTCCCCCACTTCTGCCTAAACACACTTTTTGTCTTCTTGTCTCCTTCTCTCCCTTCTCCCCACTTTCCAAAGTCTTCTTTACCTTTCTTTATT